AAGACACTCAATGAAACTAGAAAAATAGAACAGCACAGGGAAGAAAGAAAATCATTATACATTCTGCCATCAGAGACAGGAAATCACTGCTACCATTTTGTACAGCTCTATGCATTTTTTGTGAGTAAACATTTTTACCTGCTTAAACTGTTTTATCCAGTTTTACACTAATTAACATATTAGGATTATTTCCTCCATAAGGTCAGTATTTTACAATTTTGGGTGGTTGCACAGTATTCTATCTTATGTCGTTTCCATTATTTACTTACAAATTTCCTACTGCTATTTACTGTTAAAACTTTCATTTTTATGAGCAACACGGAGCTAAATAAACATCCTCCTCGTACATTACTTCCTGTACAACTCTGTGTCTTATTTAGGAAAAATCCCAAGTGGATTTGCTGGGTCAACATCTTTGCAAAAAATTTAGGAATATGTCTTATTGATCCTACTCCAGACAAATCAGCAACTTCCACTTCCACCACAAGCGGCTTTTGCTTTGCATCCTCAACCAGGCTTGGAATTAAGAGGATGCTTTGGCCAACTGATTGTTGGAAAATTATACTGTGTTAAAAATGTGCATTTCTTTGTCATTGCTTGTCTTCAGAGATCATTTTGACTTCAGTATTATTCAAAGGGAATAAGTAAGCCTGAAATTCAGCCAAAAAATATTCTAGCTCCTTCTTGTTGCATAGGGCACTATGAAAATCCGCACAGGGGCGCCTGGGTAGCTCAGTCGTTTAAGTGTCTGACTCTTGTTTTTGGCTCAGGTCATGATCTCAGGATCATGAGATCAAGCGCCATGTCCAAGCTCTATGCTGGGTGCAGAGCCTGCTTAAGATTCTCTCTCCCCTTCTCCATCCGCCCCTCCCCTGCTCTCTCTCACTCACTCTCTCTCTTCAAAAAAACAAAAACAAAATCCATATACTATCTTGGCTGATAAGCTCTTCCTTAAACTTGTAAAACAAGAACCTGGCCAATCTCTTAAAAGATTACATTTATCTCATAGAAACATGACAAGCCATTGTGTGGGCGTGTGTTAGCAACTACACTGGGGGGAAAGCATTAGCTCCTTTTCTTACCCTTCTTCAGAGTTAATCAGCTCTGATAAAAACCATTTGTCAAAATGAAATGTCTTTTTGAGAATACAATTTTACATGCACCAATGGCCTGCCACAAAATAGTTTTTTTAAATGCAATAATCCAATTTCACTCAAAGAGTAAATGCTCATTAAAACATAAGGCCACCTTGATGGCAATCCAAGACAGATGCTTCTGACACTGGTTAATTTACTGTAGTGAGAACGATAAAAAAGCTTTTAATGGAAGGTACATATAACCTTCCTTTGTAATTCAGAAGCAATTCTGGATCCATGTTCCAGAGTCCACGTTAGTGTTTTTAAAATGGCTGGGGTTGACAGTAATAGATGTGCTGGAAAGAAGTCAGCAAAACTGAGGAAATGGATTACAGTAATTGTAAAAAAAAAAAAAAAGGGGGGGGGGAGGCGGTGGACTGAATAGTTCTACAAGGTGTGTGATCTAACACACTATGCCCAGGAAGAAGGGACGTGGTGGTCTGTGGAATTTGGAAGGAGTACAAAGAACATGGACAATTCCCCTGGGAGAGTGAAACTGCGTGGAATTCCCACGCTGCTGGCACCGCCCTCAGCCCTCTTGCTGGGGCAGTGGACCTGTCACTATCAGTGCACGTCCATCCGCGAATCTCAGCACTAAGGCAGGAGAGGAAGATGTCCACACAGGCTGAGGACTCGCCACCCAGGCTAAGCTCCACCTGAGCTGCACTGAATGGAAAGCAGGGGGCATTTTGCCTAAAGGAAAGTTACCATCTGGACTCAGCAATTCACTCTCTGACTCCAGAGAAAGGATCCTATGGATTGTTCTAAGTCTGGCAATTCTGTAACTGATGTTTCTTCAGATCTCTGCGAGATCAGCATGGAGATGCAGGTTACCAATGGCTGCACCATATTGCCTTTAGGCTTGCAATTTATTTTTCTGCTCATTTGAGAGAACCATAGATGCTCGTTTTCTTACACACTGCATCTTTGAGAAGCAAAGTGTTTCTTTTTTGTGGGGGAAATTGCTAACGAGGTGGAATTCTTCAGTTTCAGAAAGTGTGATCTCCAGGGTCTTCTCCACACCTAATGCATTGCTACATTTTTCTGTATTGGCAGTAATGGAAAAATGTTCTGAGATTACCTGAGAGTTTAGCAATGAGCATAAGCCAATTGTATACATTAGCAGCATCTAGCTTTAACACTGTTGAGTTAGGGAATGTTAGTGAATTTAAATTTTAAATTTCTTGGTGCTGTCAACAGAACCTTGTGACTTGCTTCTAATCAACAGGACATGGCAGAAGTAAAGAAAAGCCACTCCCTTGATTATGTTACGTTACGGAAAATTATCTTGCTAGCAGACACTTTAGAGTCTCCTCCTTCATTGCTGGTTTTGAAAAAAAGCAAGCTTCCGAGGGTCCTACAGCCAAAGGAAAATGAATTCTGCAAACAACCGTAGAGAGCTTGGAAGTGAATCCTTCCCAGTTGAGCTAGCAGAGGAGACCCCGGCCCTGGCTGACACCTTGACTGCAGCCTTTTAGAGGAGCCAGTAAAACCATGGCCAGACCGCTGAACCATAGAAACTGAGAGATAATAATTATGCATTCTTTTAAGCTAATTGTGTGGTAATTTGTTATGAAGCAATAAAAGCAGATACTGATTTTATAAGTGGCCATCCGGCACTGCTGTCATAAATACCCCAAAATGTAGGAGTGATTTTGGAATCCCCAAATAATGATGCAGGCTAGAAAAATTATGAGGAGCATAACAGAAGGAAAAGAAACCTTGATAATATATAATTTTACGAAAATGAATAAGCACGTATGGCTGGGGACAGAGAACCATGAAAACACTAGGTTTGGTTTTAAACAGTGAACACGGACAGTGTGGTGACTACTGTTAATACTGTATTGAATATCTGGAAGTTGCTAAAATAGTAAATCTTAAAAGGTCTCATCACAAGAAAAATTTGTAACCATTAATGGTGATGTATGTTAACTAGACTTATGGTGATCACAACATATACAAATATTGAATGATTATGTTGTACACCTGAAACTAACAATGTTATGTTGTGTACACTTAAATAAAAAATTAAAATTACATTTTTACATTCTTACATTTTTAAATTCCAGTATAATTCACATACAGTGTTGTTAGTGATTCAGCAATTCTATACATTACTCAGGGCTCATCATGAAAAGTGAACTCTTACTCCTCTTCACCTATCTCACCTACCCACCTCACATCCCCTCTGGGAACCCTCTGCTTGTTTTCTATAGCTAGGAGTCTGGCTTTTGGTTTTGCTTTTTCCTTTGTTCATTTGTTTCTTAAATCCCACATATGGGTGAAATCATATTTTTCTCTTATTTCACTTAGCATTATGCCCTCTAGCTCCAACCATGTTGTTGCAAATGGCATGATTCCATTCTTTTTTGTGGCTGGGTAATATTCCATTGTGTGTGTATGTGTGTATATATATATATATATATATATATATACACACACATATACACACACATACACACACACACACACACACACAATCTTTACCCATTCATCTATTGGTGGGCACTTGGGCTACTTCCATAATGTGGCTATTATAAATAATCCTGCAATAATCATAAGGGTGTATACTTGCAAATTAGTGTTTCTGTATTCTTTAGGTAAATATTCAGTAGTGTTGATTCCTGGATAAGAGCAATTCTATTTTTAATATCTGAGGAACTTCCATATTGTCTTCCACAATGGCTGCACCAATTTGCATTCCCACCAGCAGTGCATGAAGGTTCCTTTTTTCCACATTGTCACCGACACTTATTTCTTGTGTTTAGCCATTCTGACAGGGGTGAGGTGATATTTCATTGTAATTTTGATTTGCATTTCTCTGGTGGAGTGATGCTGAACTTCCTTTCATGTGCCTTTTGACCATCTGTATGTCTTTGGAGAAATGTCTGTTCATGTCTTCTGCCCATTTTTTAAGTGGATTTTTTTTTTTTTTTGCTGTTGATTTGTATAGGTTCTTTATATATTTTGGATACTAACCCTTTATCAGATATGTCATTTGCAAATATCTTCTCCCATTCAGTAGGTTGTCTTTTAGTTTTGTTGTTTCCTTCGCCATGCAGAAGCACTTTGATGCAATTCCAATAGTTTATTGTTGCTGTTGTTTCCCTTGCCTTAGGAGAACTGTCTAGAAAAATGTTGCTATTGCCGGTATGTCAGAGAAATTACTGCCTGTGTTCTCTTTTGGATTTTTATGGTTTCAGGTCTCACATTTAGGTCTTTAATCCATTTTATTTTTGTGTATGGTCCTCAACACATTTTTTCATTGGTTTCAAACACAAAATGATGCTCCTAAAATGAATATGTAGTATTGACAATCAGGACAAATGGATAACTTCTTCACAGATAAATAAGAATCTGATTCCCCCCTAAGACCAAGATATGTGGTCAAATCTAACAATTTCCAGGGGGAAATATATTTTTTTAATTAAAGAGTTTTTGAAAAAAATCAGCAGGTTAGGTAAAGTGTGACACAAGTGTACGCCAGCAAGTGGATTTGGGTGTTAGATCGGCAGTTCGTAATAAAAGTCTTATTCTCAGACCCTGGCATGAAGGGGTTTGACGTGGATGAACTGTGGGAACACACTGCATGGGCCCTTCTAGAATGCCCCAGCTCATCTGTTCAGCTATGGCGTGGATTTGAGAGAGGGAGGGGTCTCTCTGGTAGATTAAAAGCACCCAGAAACACCGGGGTTTATAGGAGACCCTCTTTTCTTATAAAAAAGGTAAAAACTTAAAATTTTGAAAATGAGATTGTGTGGTATCTAGATGTACTTGGAGCAGGCTTTGAAGTCATGCAAATGCTACCTCTTGGCTAGATACACGCAATACTGCAATTATTACACGCAGAGAATTTAGAGCTTTAAATGCATTTACCATTTTTATTTTGCTATGCAGAAACATACATTCACCATGGGCTGAGTGATGCAGTTGACAATATAATGGAGAATAGATCTTTTTGAAGGCTATTTATAACTAAACACTAAATACTTTAATTACAGTGGAAATTCTGTACAATTTAAGGCTTGGCTCTGAACTAGATTGTAAATATGGACCAGATTTGGAAATAAAACACTTTTTTTCAAGTAAAAGAAAAAAAAAATCAACTTAAGAAAACATGAGGAAGAAGGAACGAAGAAAGAAAACAAAGCAACCGAAGCCCGATAGGTTTTTCTGGAGTGCAATTTCATAATGTTGTAAACTAACAAAAATGGAGGTTTTCTTCCCCCAAATAATGACAATTTACATACTTAGGACTTGTCAGGGAAACTCTCGGAAGCTTTCCAGATTGGACGCAGACCAAAGTGAACGAGGAAGAAATTTCACATTAATATGCTAAAATCAGTACTACCTTGTAACGGATTAAATCAGACACACAAAGCAGGATTGTAAGCATTAAATATTTCCGGACGATCGGGAGTCGTTGCTGTGTGCGGGCGAGAGGAATAAAACCAAGGGAAACAAGTACAAGATCCAAGTTGTTTACTGAAGAAACGCGGTTATTGGCACATCTAATCTGGAATAAACCTGACACATTGGACGTAGACAGCTTCTAGCATTTTAGAGTCATCTTCACCTGTCTGTAAACAAAAGATCTGTCACCTAAGAAACTGCAATTTTGTTGAGACTTTGATAAACTATGAAAGGCATGGATTGTTTATGTGTTACATGAGATCACGGTTTATACTGTTGGTTATGAACGTGCAGGTATAGCTGAAAACTTAGACACTTGGTGGAAATTAAAAATGCTACTCTTTTTGTAATTTTATCGTTGCTTCATGCAATATCAGTTTCGTGATGCTGATTCGGATTGCTTTATTATGGGAAGATCTCTCTGCCAGTATCTTTATTAATGGTCAAGGTCAGTTCTTCCGGATTGAAATTTTCCATGGGCAGATACGAGTCAGTTGGGTTAGAAGAGGGAACTCCATATAGGCTCTGGTTTTCCTAATGGTTTGCATGACTGGATTCATGTGCAGGCTAAGTTAGTCCTGTAGGAAAGAGATTTGATCAGTTACTCGTTGGAAAACACCCGAGAGTCTTCCTCTGATGAAGGCCACAAAAAAAGTATCTTGAGGTTATGAAATGAACTTTTTGTCAAGATACTGTAAAATACCAGCGTAAGTCACTGACATGGATTCTCTTAAATAACTACAACATCACCCACATGGTGGAAGCTCACTGAAGGAAACCTTTTTCTTTTCTCTTGTTTTTAAAAAAATTTTTTTAAATTGTTTTTATTTATTTCTGAGAGACAGCATGGGCAGGGGAGGGTCAGAGAGAGATGGAGACACAGAATTTGAAACAGGCTCCAGGTTCTGAGCTAGCTATCAGCACAGAGCCTGACACGGGGCTCGAACCCACGAACTGTGAGATCATGACCTGAGCCGAAGTCGGGCGCTCAACCAAATGAGCCACCCAGACGCCCCCAAGAAAGCTTTTTCTGCTCTGTCTTCCCAATTATATTATTTATTTGAACATAATAAGTGACTTTTGCATTTTGTCCTTTGAGAGGCCACTCATCAATCCATATGCCTGACAGCAGTGGTAGAGACCTCCTTATTTCGCTTATGCACGTAAAGGGTTCGAGAGACTTCTATCACGCAAGCAAGTGTGCAAGTAGTGCAACTGTTGCATTCGGCATTCAAAACCCTCTGGGGATGCTCGGGGCCCGGGGATCCTTGCGCAGCAGGTTAGTATGTATAACCTGTCTGTGCACACACACAAGATGTTATCTGCTCATGATGCGAGCCAAAGAGCCACTGAAAAGGCATGCACACAGGTTCTGCAGAAAAGCAGGACCACAGGACTGCATTTTTGCCTCCTCCTGAGACATGATGCTGTACTAAGCAGCGAAAAAATCATCCCAAAGAATACAGAAAATGTAAGACATCTGACATGGAAGTGGGTGCCTGGGTTTCAAATGAAGAAACAAAGCAAAAACAAGAGCATGAACAGTAGCATAAACCAAACACAGCTGCAGAGGAAGCTTACGATGAATGGGGTAAGGGTGCTGTCCAAAGAAGAAAGGGGTACAGTTTATTTCCCGAGTATCTGGAACACACAAATTGTACCTTTCAGTATGAAACGGCCTTAGTTCTGATTAGGCCTCATGGCCGGTGAAATCAAATCTGAACTTTCAAATTTGGATCATGAAGAGTGCAGGGCATGGATGAAAAAGGAAACACCAGTGAGGGCATGCAAGCAGAGACTGCTTCTTTCTTGATCCTCTAACTGGCAGAGTATGCAAAATGTCCACAGTATGGAGCCCCCAAATCTGAAACAAACCAGCACCCGGAAACCAACTCTCCATCCCTTTGGTGAGTAGCCCTGCAAAATGCCAGTGAGAAGAAAGATAGAGGCGGCGGCAGGGGAAGGAGAGGGGGAAGTGTCCCATGCCACATGCCAGCCGAGGCCAAGTCTAGAGAATCAGCGTCGCCTCTTACCTGGGGTCAATCCTCTCCATCCTCTGGTGTGATCTCGGTCTCTTTATGGACCACTACTTTGGTCACTGACATGTCAGGGTGCTGCTCTTTGGCCTCTTTAATTGCCTGAGCCAGAGCCTATCCCCAGGAAGTCACAGAAGGGCAAAGACAAAAAGGGGGTGGAACATGCATGATCAGTAGCGAGGTGGAGACTTACGAGCTAGATCTATCTACGCCATTTACAAATGAGGTACAATGACTGCAAAAGGAATTGTATGCTGCATATTGGAAAGTTAATTCCGAAAACAGTTTAGACCGCATGATGGACTAGAAGGACAGCACTGGGAAGGGTAAGGCTGATCCCTCCGTTTCTCGGCCCAGGGTTTTTACCCTCTTGCGCACACTACCTGATCATGGTCAATGTCCGCATCTCCTGTGATGACTATTCGCTTCTCAATCCTGGTCTCTGAAATGCCTCCTTTCACAGTCTGCGAGGGACAGAAAAGTGTCATAAATTGACCCACTCGGAGAAACAGTCACTGTTCAATGGGGAATTGGCAGAAAATGCTAACGGAGTTTTAAATAACATCATTCATTAAGAACTGAAACAATTCTTTGGCAATTACTTAAAACTGTTAATTTCAGAAGTGAGCCCGGCACCCTCCTACACTGTTGGTGGAAATGTAAACTGGTGCAGCCCCTCTGGAAAACAATGTGGAGGTTCCTCAAAAAATTAACAACAGTACTCCCCTATGACCCAGCAATAGCACTGCTAGGAATTCACCCAAGGGATACAGGAGTGCTGATGCACAGGGGCACATGTACCCCAATGTTCACAGCAGCACTCTCCACAATAGCCAAAACATGGAAAGAGCCCAAGCGTCCATCAACTGATGAATGCATCAAGAAGATGTGGTATATTTATACAATGGAATACTACATGGCAATGAGAAACAATGAAATCTGGCCATGTGTAGCAACATGGATGGAACTTGAGGGTGTTATGCTGAGCGAAATAAGTCAGGCAGAGAAGGACAGATACCATGTTTTCACTCACATGTGATATAGGAGAAACTTAACGGAGGACCATGGGGGAGGGGAAGGGGAAAAATAGGGAGAGGGAAGAAGGCAAACCATGAGAGACTCTTGAATACTGAGAACAAACTGAGGGCTGATGGGGGAGGGGGAGAAGGGAAGGGAGGTGATGGGCATGGAGGAGGGCACTTGTTGGGATGAGCACTGGGTGTTATACGGAAACCAACTTGACAATAAACTATAAAAGAAAAAGAAAAAAAAAGAAATGAGCCCGGAATGCAGTTCTCTGGGTGGGGCTGGTCAGTACTTCTAGAACATCTACCATGTGCTAAGCACTGGACTTCTATGTTAAGCAAAGGGTATTAGAATGCACATTCCTAAACAGAGACTGGCACATAAGGACAACTGTCCCAGAGAGGGGCGTGAGAGGGCTCTAACGTGGGCTTCCTGATGGTCACAGAACTCTGGGCCTGTGCAGCTCAACCAGGAAAAAGTGCTGTGTGACTGCCTTCCTTTTATCTGTTCCCACCCCACTTACTTTGGTGATGTGGGTGGTGGTCGTGGTGCTGGTGGTTTCAGATGTGATCGTCTGAGCGCTCATTAGCACACCTGGCTCCAGATCGGCAGCAGGATCGACCTGCGTGAGCAGAGGAACGGATACCACACTCAAACACTTACCCTCCGGACGTTTGCTGTGTTAGGTCAGGGCATTACAATGACGGGCTTCTCTCCCACACCTGCCGTGCCGTTCAGTCAGCACACGGGAGCTCTGGCTACGCGTACGGCGCAACCCAGTGCAGCCAGAGTGAACCATCGTTAAGAAACTTGGACTTCAGAATGGTGAGTCGTGTCTGCCTGAACTATTTTTCCTGATCCGTGGCTATGGAAATAGGTGCCTGAGCCTTGTTCTCCGTTTTGGGATATATGAAGACCTGCTTAAAGTCACCTGAGGCTTTTTTGCTTGGTAATAAAGTTATGCTTATTACCATTATTGCTCCTGACAGACACAGCTCGGCTAGGTAAGTGTCGTGTGCTTCTACTCAAATGCAGTAAGCCAGTAAAGGGCCAAAACAAGGTGCCGGGGCTCCAGTCTCTACAGGCGGCCTTACCTGTGATGACTCATACGTTATGGTTTTTGTTTCTGTGTGAACTACCGGCACTTCCTTGGTAGAAATTTCTAGCTTTACTCCTCCTGGTGAAACGCTGCCAAAACTGATGGTTTCTGTCTTCACAGTTGACGACTGTACCAACGGGAAGTAGGAAGAGTGGCTGTTACAGTTCGCACAAAGGCATAATTTTCGTTTCCCCCCCCGCCCTCTCTCTTGGTGGATATGAATAAGCACAGGTTAGTATGAAATAAACGTTCATGTACTACATGGGGAGGGTACACTGAGGAATGAAGCAGACACCAGATGCCAATCTTTCAGAATTACATTTTTTTCCCGTGGGATGTTCCAGGTAAAGGAAAGCATTTTGAAGGAGATGTTTAAAACAGGATTTTTATGTCCCCCCTCCTCTACTGCATAAATCAAAAATAATAAATCAGCCTTCTGTTTAATAGCTTCTTAGAAAGGAGGAATGGATACTAAGACATTAACTGCCTCCAACAGCATATTATACTTCAGGAATGTCAGAGAGATAAACAAAGTTCTGGCATTTGGTACCGGGGCAAGCATGGTCTCTGGGTAAGTACCCTGATCAAAAAAGGAAATTTATCAAATGCTCTATTCTCTTGGCTGGCCATGCACTGCCCAGGTTTACTGCCAATTACAGTAGTTACAGCAAAGGTAGAAACCATTTCCTGGAACTGCACATTATCAATAATCATCAAATGTGTGTGAAAATGATCCCAAAGATGGAAACCAGCATGGAGGCCCCTGAGATTGCCGTGCAAGAGGGAAATAAGAGGAGAACAAACTGCACTTGGAAAAGGTAAAAAATTCAGCTTAGCTCCTTCCACCTTTATGCTTAACTAAATTTCAGGGACTCCCATACATATCAGTTTTACATTCGTGCTGAAAGTAATATCAACTACTAGTTACCTCGAAATGAGGTTTTTGTTCGCAAGTTTCAGAAACGTGGACGGCTGCACTCTGCTCCTCCTCTGACTCATGGGAAGCAGTGGCCGTTCCTTCCTGTTCGAGGACAGCTGTACCGGCCACCTCCCCCTTTTCCTCTTTAGCCCCCTTTGTCAGGGCAGAGCCCTCCTTCCCTTTCAAGCCAGAAGCATCAGCAGATGCTGCCTGTGCCGCAGCATCCACATCCTCTCCAGCCGTGTAAGAAGCATCCCCACTCGCATGCACATTCATGACATGTCTTTCCTCCACCAACACGGTTTCCTGCACAACCTTCTCGGTGCTAAGTGGCTGGGGCTGCTGGCTTGCTTCCACCTCTGTTTTGCTGGGCTCTGTCTTGGTTTCTGTTTTCTGCATGGAAGAGATTGCAGTGTCAGTGGGGCTTTCCATAAACCAAGGGTCAAAAACCCAAAAATAAAAGCAGCCACTCACCAGGCCGCCTAAAGCCGGCATCAAGTGCTCATGACTAGAAACGCTTACAGAAAATATGAATTGGCTTTCATTCCTCCCACTAGCACCTCTGATGTGCGCCCCCGACCCGACACACACACACACACACACACACACACACACACACACACACACCCCACCCCGAGCCTGTGCTACATCTGGAGAGCCACAAAAGAAACGGGATGCAGTATAAAATGCAATTAAGACAAAACAAAAGTGCTGTAGCCCACCCCCACGGATTGTGGCAGCTTTCTTAGACCCAACAGAAGGCATCAAATGCTTAAAGTTAAACGCGATCACAGTTTCTCAACCTGATTGCTTCTGGAACATCTGAGGTATGTTCTCACGGTGGAACTACAGGCACAGGACAGCTATGCCGGGCAGGCACAATTGAAAATAACCGAAGACACCTCGGAGGTGTTTAAGGCAAAGCAGCTGGGATGCAACACACACGCGCACGCTCGCACACAGCCAAGAGGCATAAAGAAAGGCAGAGGAGCAGAGCCAGGAACACCAAGGAGGAAGCAATTGGCCACCTGAACCCAGCTTTGAGAAGTAGAAGTAACCCCTCCTATGAATTCTGTTGGTTTTCTCGCAGAGTCTAATAAACTGAAGATTTCAGAGCCATCCATGAGCTTTTCGGCAGAAGACTGTTTAGTCTGGGTGAACAAAGAAACGGACAGTCAAACACAGAGACAGGAACACAGGCGGGCACATTCACATTCACAGCCGGTTAGACAAAACTGTAAGGGAGGAAGGAAGGAGGTGGGAGGAAGGAGGAGGGAATCTACCAAAGTTGGGAAACAGAAAAGAATGGGAAATAAAATAGCAAATTGAGGCGACCATGAGCTCTGGTTTGGTAAAGCAGAGAGAGTTATTAGGACATGGGCGGTGCTGGTTTAAGCAGACCATTTTCCCTTCATTGCAAGCCGCAGCAGCACTACCACATCTCGGGATCGGGGAGCTGGAAACAAAACGCAAAGTGTTGTAACGCTTACGCTGGACTGCGGTGTTGATCTAAACCATGACAAAACTTAAAAAGCTTGGGTTGGCTGCTCTCAACGAAAAGCCAAACAGCGAGAGGAACGGAAAAGTTTAGGGTGGAAGGGCGCTGCCTCAAAAAAACGTCATGCTGGAATCTGAAACGGTGGCCCAAAGGAAAGGCACTGGTTACCACAACTCGGGATGAGGCGGACTCGGTAACGTAATGAGCAGTGGCCACGGTGAAGGCCGGCTCCTGCGAGTATCTCCACTCGGACAGGCTCTTCCGCCTGGGACCAAAGAGCCCCACTTTCAAGACCTCGCCCTCCGGCGCTGGCTCCGTCCTGGCCGGGCGCGCGCCCTCCGGGCCGCCCTGGGCCGCTGCGTCCCGGCCCAGCCCCGGGGCCCTCTGGAGCTCGTCGTCTTCGGGGCTCGGCCGCCGGGAATCGGCCTCCTTGATGGGAGCCAGGGATTCGGACAGTTTCCGCTTGGGGGTGTGCACCTCGGGTCCTCTCCTGGATTTCTCATCGGGGACAACGTCCAGGACCTCGTAATCGGCTGTGACCGGGATGATCTTCATGGACTCTGCCAACCCTCTGTCTGCTTTCTGAAGGGCTTCCAGACCGCAGGGCTGTACTGCCTTCTCCCCTTCCTTGACCTTTCCGGTCATGGTTACGATCTTGCCTGATACGGTGTCGTAGGATTTTCCTAGCGTGTATATTTTCTGTTTGCTTTCTCCTTTCAATTGCATTTCTCGGGCCAAGTCTTCGAAGCTCTGCATTTCAATGGCACCATATCTTAACAGATCGGCAGGGATGTCACCGGTTCTACTGCTCACGGTCACCACCTTGTAAGTCACAATCTTTTTCGAATCACCATCAACTACCTCAGTGGGTACTTTGTCTACAATAACCCAATCCTCTGTGCCCTATATTTGAAATATAAAAGCTAAATTAGAAATGCTGATGGTCTCATTTCCAAAATAAGAATCCTTCAAGAAACCGGGGCAAAAGCTACGCTGTGATGTGACTGCATAGGGCTGGTGCTATTATCTAGTAATTCTGGTTGTTAATCTCTTCTTATCCAAAACTTAGAAACTCTAACCTTCGACTTGGAATGCAGTCTGCACATAGAGTTGCAATTTCAGGTTTCTTTAAATAGGAACATAACTTGGTGGTAGATTTTTGCAAGAATATATCGGACCTTATGTTAAACGTCTAATTATTTCATATTTCAAGATTAAATGATGTTAGTGAAGGTGTTGTACGAGTTATTTCGCTTGTGTGGACACACAAAGACAGTTTTCCATGGTAACTAGAACACTGTACTTCATATCTGCTGTTTTCATAAAAAACTTGCCAGCATTCCACAAATTTCTGTGAATATCATATTTCATGTTTGTAAACTATAGTTTCTTATACAGGAGACCAAATCTCCCATAGCACTTACTATGCAATAAATACTGAGTGTGCTTGTAGTCAAGGCACTACAGTTGGGGGCATTGTTGGAGCCTCTTACAAATAGGTCATGGTGGCCCAATCGTATTTACAACCAAAGTTCATGGTGTGAGTGGTTTCTTGGCCACTTTCCTTAGTCTTAGTTCCAATACGACAGAAGAAATGAGAGCAAAGAGACTGGTGTCTGAGAAGGCTAAGAGGAGGAGTCCAGGCAGTTGACTAGTCTTAAGAGGTCACAAAGGAAAGGGAAACCAAACCAGGGGAGACGAGCACCTTGGCTTACATGTTAAACTACAGTGTCTCCTACTTCGCTGTTTGTCTTACTCTGAAAACTTGAATCTAGAAATATGTGTGCCTTAAGGAGAAAAAAAATACAGATCAGCCTACATGTTGGTGCTGGATTAAATGAAATGAATTGAAACATAACCTCTAGGGTCGATGGGACAGTTTTCTGGAAAATGATTTGACGAGAGGTAACCACAGAGCCCGCAGAGTCTCCTTCCTGCATTTTCTTTATCATACTCGGCTAGTGGGAAAACCAATAAAAGTTCAGAACTTTCAAAATCAGTCAAGTTCATCTAAATTAGTATCACTCTATGGGTAATGCAGATAGTAAGAAGTCCCAATAATATCATTAGAAAGCATAATATAGTCACCTAGTCGCAAAAGCCATAAAGAATGATTGCTGATAACTAAAATCGTAAGAAAGTTCCTTTTCCCCCTCCCCAGAATCTAAGCAAAAATGATATACATACCTTAGTTTTAAGCAAAGTAGATTTAAAAAGGAAAAGAAAAACTAATGACACTGAAATTTGAAGAGAATTCCCTTTTGGGAAATTCCTTTATGTTTGTTTTTTACCTGAGACTCAAGGAATGGAGGGCTTTCTTGCTGCAAAAATATAACTTTCTCAGAAATTTCTCTTTCTTCTTTGGTCTGTTTGAATAAAGGGGGTTGGGTTGGAGAAGAGGAAGTAGACAGTTTCCAAAAAAGGCAAGTTAGAAAGAGAGTTCTTTCATTGTGTTATACATATCATAGTCAAATTCATCTCTTTCTGAAGAAGTGAATTATTGTTTATGAATTTGAAAAAAATGGTCTGAAGCCATCTCCAAGTTTAATAATTACTTCCAAAAAGTAACAGATTGTTTTTTGAAGCTCTAGTGTAGGACTCACACGTTTTCCAAACACAAAACACACACGAACAATAGAAAGAGTTCCTTGGCCTTTGAACAGTATCTAGGTCAGTTGTCTGCAAAACTGCAGAAGTGAAAGATTAAGATTAAAAAAAAAATTAAGTGAGAAACAGAAGTCCTCACTCTTACATGGGACAAATCTTGCTTAATCCTGGGCAAGGGAATGAACAAGGGCCACTGCACCAGCGACTACTCTGAGCAAACCCAGTCAAGCCTGCATTGCTGTCTTTACTGTTCCACGAATAAACAAAGGGTACTCAAAAGTTACAGCTTTACTTGAACTTCTGTAAGATGGTGAGTGACTCTAAAAAGTCCATTTCAAAATATCTCGGTAAAAAGTAAGTACTTCAGATCCTGCTTTCTTTAACCTGTAACATTAAGAAATGTTGAAGTAGACATGTCATGTTAGCAGCCTGCTTTTTCCTTTTACCTACTTTTTGTTGCCTTCTTTAGTATTAGTAGGAATTTCAAGTGGCAAAGTATTAGCCACTGAGCCTAACTCTATGCATAGCGTATACTACTCCATGGAGCAGTGAGAGAAAGGGTATTTAGGAAGAGAATTCTAAAAAATAATAATAGAAAGCTCAAAGTTTCTAGGAGAACAGAGCTTTTAAAGTAAATCCTATTGTTGTAAACAATATAATTTAGCGAGAGCTATTTAATATTCCTACATGTGTACAAATCTATCAGTACTACATTTAATAGTTTCCCTATAAGAGGTTGTAAGGGAGCATCTGGAATATTCTCCTGGAGGACCTACTGACAGATTGTGATAGCATCATTCTCCCATGCCCCCTTTCTGATGAGGAACAAGCAAGAGATTTTCAAAGGGGAGGAAAAAAAAGTCCCTAGCCTTCCCCATTTTGGAGAAAGGTATTGGAAAAGACAAAATGTACTATGTGGAATCATTACATATGGATTTTTGTTTTGTTTTGCTTTCAATTTTAGCCCTTTTTTTCATAGAGAAATAAGAAACAGGAAGGAAAGGTCAAAATTATAGGTACTTTTCAGAATACCACTGCTAGGCCTCTAATTATAATCACCGAACTAAAGATTATTCCTAAGATGAAAGCCTGAAAAAACCCAATAATAGCAGGAAAACAGTGGTTTTCAGCATCTCCTGGTATCTGACATCAACGAATTTCAAAATATCTTTGTCTTTAATTGAGTGTATCAACACTGTCTGTATTCGGGATGGTGTACGTCCGCTGAGAGATAAGGTTAACATAAGGGGACAGATCTTAAAATAAAATCCTATATGTATGGTCAACCCCAATTCAGTTTGGCTAAAGACAAGGGATGAGACGCCAGTAAAAAAAAGAATCAGTGTTTACTTTTAATACGGGTCAGAATAGAGTCAGCTGTGTACCCCAAACCTTTTGTTTCATTACTTAAACATTCATCGTTATATCATAACTGGGAAATAAGGCTTTTACTGCTGTGCACAATGTACAGAAGTGTTACTCACTTTCAGGGGATTAGGGATTTCTGTAGAGCCATAACACTCATTTCTCCCTGGGCCAGGGCTGTTCAAACGGCTGTGCATTAGAATTACGTGGAGAGGTTGTAAATAATAGCAGTACGTGGGGTTGCAGCTCAGACTAACTAAATCAGACTCTGATCCCTGCCCCCTTTATTTTATAAAGTAGGCTCCATGCCTCAAGCAGGGCTTGAACTCATGACCTCGAGATCCAAGAGTCGTGTACTCCACCAACTGAGCCAGCCAGGGGCCCCCAGACTCTGATTTAATAGATCCCAGGCATCAGTATTTTAAAATTTTTCCTGTAGGTAATTTTAATATGCACTTAAGAGTTACCCCCAAGGCCTGGGTCACAGAAGTCAGATTCAGAGAATGAAGATAACTCTCCCTATGTGTAAATAGATGATCATGGTGAATGGGGTTTCTCTTGTTTTTGTTTTTTGTTTTGGCCCAAATCGAGGCCCATTCAAGACCTGAGTAGCAAGAATAGAGCTGGACTGGAAAGCAAATGCACAAGTAGTGTCAATTCTAGTTATTCATCATAATTATGTTCAGTGAAATCACCATGAAGAGTGTTAGAGAATACTGAACCACTGGCTTTATGGGAAATACATGGTTAAGGCTTCTGTGAGCTTCTGGTCATGATACTGTTAACTGCTCAATACATAACCTTGTCTTACATGTGTTTCAACTGCTCAGTACATAACCTTGTCTTACACGTGTTTTTGTTTCAAGACTCCTTATTTAAATACATATTATTGATCCATTAACGTTGAACTCACCGTCAACAGCACTATAACATGTTCCTGAAGGAAACTTCTCTTAACACATGCATTTTTCCAAAAGACACACCACAGCCTACTTGTGCTTCGGAACACTAGCTAGCAGTTCAGTACTACCTTTGGGGGTCATATTAAACAGCAAAATCACCCTCAAAAAGGCAGCACTAAATAGGTCATAAAAAGCGCATTTGTTTAGAGTATGAAAACGGAAACAAGAAGGCAGAACACGGCCTTGTTCAACCCAAGCTGGGAACGTGCACAGTGAGCGACTCCAAGGTTTCACCACCCTGTGGGGGCCTGCAGAGCACTGTGAAAGTGCCATTAACACTGATTTCAGGGTTCCAGTGAATTTTAGCAAGTAGGCCAATGTCCAAATATGGAATCTGGGAATAAGGAAGATTGGCTGTGCGAAGCTTACATACCTATAGAACTACCACCTACACGAAAAAAGAAGATGTACTGATGCTGCATAAGTGCTAACGGGTATTGCATTTTGGTTGTGGTTTGGAGACGTTGAGGATTCAAGTGACGGGGAGGGAATATACCTTAGCAGGGACTAAGCCAAGGTGCATCAGAAAAGGCTGTCTCGGGAGGGATGTGTGGACAGAAGACACACCTGGAGCCCTTCACGTACCATACATCTCTCCTTCCTGTGTGTGCTGGGCCCTGCATATGGGCTTGGCTATTTTCCCAAGTTAATGAGGAGCTGCTTTGGGGTATCCTTGCTACTTCTCTGCTGTTAACTCCATATTTGAAAGTTGAACCCACTGGCACTAAAATCCTCATTTTATAGTAAACATCCAATACATTCTTAGAATATAATCACCACGACTAGCTCACCATAGAGTACTCAAGTAATCTGACTGAAACTGATGTGTCATGGTACAGAAATACTCTGGTCCCAGTACTTTTCATTTATTCTGCATACAGGGCCCTTTTCAATGTAATTCAAATGGATAGAGACCTTGTCACTTTTTAGCTGGGATTGGAGCTGTTGTGAACATAGTGATTGGGGTCACTTTTGATCAACAGCTTTCAAGGGAAGTTTAGAAAATGATCAAAACGAGTATAATTATATTCTTCTTTCCACTGCAAGGAGCTAAGCATTGCATATAGACTATTATTTGGAGGGTTTTTCTGCCACAAAGTCCTAAGTTTTAATTTTCTTCTGTTCTGTCTCAGCTTTCTGGACAAATGTCTTACAGTAAAGGAGCCTTGAGAAGAAAGAAGGTAAGCAACGTAATGCTACAAAGAGAGTTCTACAAAACTACTTTCTTTTGGAAGACAGGGAAGGCAAGATGATGTCTAACAGCTGACAGTGGCCTCACTGCCATGTGTGGGTCCCAAGGTGGAGGCCTAGAAGTAGTGTCAGTGGATCCTCACAGTCTGGTGGTACATTTCAGAGAGCTTTCCAACACGGAAGACTCTTACTTAAAAAGGCATTGTGGGCTCTACGCAGTCCATTATAAAATAAAAATGGATTATAAATCTGTTAAAATAACCAATGAGGCATATTTTTAAAAATGGGTCAAAAATCAAAATCCAATCAAACCCTGATTGCATCAGGGAAAAAGCCCGATGTAGCGTCTTCAGAGTTAAAGAGGTGCTGAAATGTGGTCAGCTTCAGATGAGTGTCAGTCAAACATTAGACAAATCCATACACCTCATTTTGCAACTGATGAGAAACATTCATGAGGTTTCAGATCATTTCTTAAGAGGCAGCAGAAAAAGCATTTTCAGAAAAAAAAAAAAAAAGTTCATTAAGACAGTATCTCAAAGTTTCCCAGCTGTGAAATCTAGGTTTACAGTTAGAATGAACCCATCGGCATGCACTGTGGTTCCCGGGAGCCTCCCTGTTCCCTCCATGCACCCTGTGGCTCTACTACTCACTCCTCAGCCACCGCATGCTTTCACTTTGCAGCCCTGACTATGTTGGTTCAGGGTATACACAGACAGGGGGTAAGGCTGTCTACTCAGAAGCCTGCCCACTCCGTTCCCCAGGCGCAGACCCTGCAGAGAGGCAAGGCTGGTGAACAGAAAACAATGGCGATGCAGAGCCTGAATACCGACCTCTTCGGGTACGAGCGGTTCGATCATGGGTGCGTCCTCCTGCCTGGCGGCTAGTCGCACTGGGGAGGTAGAGAGCCTCTTTTCCCATTCGTTTGTGATGGCAGTGTCTGTGGAGGTTTCTAAAAAGGTTCTTTTCAGCTCACTAATATTGGTTTGATGTTTCATCAGGTCATCTTGAGTTTTATCTAGCTCCTATATTCAGAACATAAAGAATCCAACGGTCAACGTTTTACATTTGCCTTCCTATCTGTGTGCTTTTTGTTTTTAAAGTAATGCCAATCTCATTAGTAGTCAAAATAAAAGAATTCTGATCAGGGCTCATGACACTACCACAAGCACTTTGGTGAAAATGTGATATTGCTACGGAAAAGAGAAGGAAAAAAAAAGCTCTAGTTCACGCAAGCATAAAAACCAAAAGCGTTTTTAGAGGCAAACTGTAGAGTGTAATTCACACGTAACCAGAAAAAATTAAAATGAATACACACAGAAGAAGGGATCTATATCTAGGAGAGAGGAAGGAATCAGAGAAGGCTGAGAAGGTAGCCCCACTTATTCACAGGTGAGAGCACACGGTTCATGCATCACTGTATGAGCCCACGGGTATGCCACTAAAGGAAATGTCAACACGCAAAAGCATGCACTGGTATATACCAATACCAACCTCTAACATAAGATTACTATGTTTGACATACACATTTTCACCCTTTATTCGCTTAATCAGACTATTCTGAAAAAAGTGGAGAAGAAAGGGAAAGGTAAGGGACGCGGTAGTCACGGGAATCAATGCCGTCCTCCACACTGCACCGACAACACGGTCACCGGCTACGGAGCATGCTGGAAGACTGAACACCGTAGACAGACAATGACTTATCACGCACTGGTTTTTGCTTTTGGTTTCTTTTTAATTTTCTACCTGTGCCTTGAGCTCTGCATCTTCCTCCTGGTCCGACTGCCAGCGTCAAGAAAGAGTGGGAAATAAAGTCTTACCATGTAATTGACTCTAGGATCGCGGAACTATGGTCTATATCAACTTGCTAAAAGGGGACGCTAGTTTGCTCTTGTATCCGGATGTCATTTCTTTTATGCAAGTGGCCACATTCTCACATATAATAGGAGACAGGAGTAAAAGATTCCTTGCCTGGTGGGTCTTTGACACTTTAACCTGGAGACTTTTAAGTGGGATCAGCGCACACTCCTAAGTGGGAGGTGACAGCCAGGGCCTGGCCAGTTGTCCTTAATGAACACTAGGAAATGGCTCAGGAAGTAAGGGGAGCCCCACTGAAACAAATTCACAAGAATGGTTTTGATCACCCAATAATGAGTGCGCCCTTGGGATGTATGAATCTTTATCATCTCGTAGGGTAGCTATTATTTTCCCCAACTTGTAGGCCAGAGAACAGAAGCTCAAAGACTTTAATATAGAGGTCCCCACACTTAAGAATTTGTTGGAACCCTAAAAAAATTAAAAAATATATATTTAAATAAAAAATAATAATAATAAACAAAACAAAAAAGAATTTCTTGGAACCTTGAGTTTCTTAAACCCATATATACTTAAAAATAAATTTGGCAAGGGAGAAAACTGATATAGTGTAAGTCAAGAAGTTAAAAAAAGAATCACCTACCATCAACATTACCATCATTTCTTTCAAATGTTTTTGAAAAATACATTTATCTAAAAGCCACTTCATTATCCTCATTTTTCTAATCTCAAGAACCTGTTTAATCCTCGGACTGGTATTTAAGTGCCAGTAACTAGGTAACCAGGCCACGGCACTGCACACGGGCAGGCAGGAGGAAGCCTGTGTCTCTCCCGGGGTGGGGGTGGGGGGAGAACAGGGGTGCACCTGACCCAGGGCCTGGGCTCTGTGCTACAGGAGCTAGCCACAGGGTAATTATAGGTGAGAACACAGAGACGCCTGAGCAGGCGTCAAATTAGTCTATTGTGGCCTCCGCCTCCTCATCTCCTTAATGGGGCAAGACCGCCTGCCCGGCAGGCCTCACCCTGCACTACTGTGGTCCTGGCTCCTGAGAGGAAGGAGGGAAAGTGTTTAAAAAGGGTGAGAGTGCCCAGGTAACTCTAACACAGTGCTGGCAACACACTAATTCTTAACTGTGTCGTGCGTTCACAGATCTTTAGCTTTAAGCTTTACAATTACCCCTGTGGCAGGTAAGGGTTTTGCATGCTTCAAATGTTATAGAACAACCTTTAAAACTGCTATAAAGTATTTTTTTTTCATTTAGGGCACATATTAAGATTATAATGAAGTTTACTGAGTGTGTTAACATGTAGCTACGTGTAACTAATAATTCTTAACAAAATCAAGATATAATTTTGTTATATTTGGCACAGAAAATCATTAACTCATAATAAATTTATATGTGGTCGCTTAAAAGAACCTGGATAGTTGTTTTACAGTATTACTTAAAAAAAATTTTTTTAAGTAGGCTCTGTGCCCAAGCAGGGCTTGAACTCATGACCTCAAGATCAAGAGTTGCATGCTATACCAGCCAGGTGCCCCTACAATGTGGTGGTGGTGGTGGTGGTGGTGGTGGTGGTGATGTTTTTCAATGCCAGTGCTATTTTTTTAACTTAAAAATTATGATTTCCAAACTTTGAATTTAACTCTGGCATTTTCTAAGGATGAAACAAAGGAGTTTAACAAGACTCCTTTTTAAAAAGTTTTCCTAAAGATATTTTCAATTAAGTATTATACAGATGCTATTTACATTTTTAGTTCCTTAATATCGAACTTTAGAAAAGACTATCCTACCTGGATGATGTAAAAAAAAAAAAAAAAGAAAAAACAAAAGAAAAAAAACTTAAACATGATCACAAAGTAAAAAAAAAAAATTCTGCTAGCACTTTAGGAAAGGAATGTTTTGGCTTCTATTACTATAGATATGGCTTTTATAGAAATTTTCATTACTGGTAGAGAAGATTTAAAAAGCAACATTAAGCACACACATTTAATGTATCCTAAAGAATTTATAATGGATAAATGATAGCACAGTATCTTTCCTATCACTTTCGATGTAATCATTAAAAAAAAAGTACTAATAGTAACTTGCTCTTTTTTTTTTCTTAGAGAATCCTTTTCTTTTAAGGGACCTAGGTTGTATCCATCCAGTCTACAAAAATAAGTTAAGAGAAGTATGATTCTTTTAATAATTATTATGTGCCGATTTGGGATTTAAGGGATTTCAAAATATGTCTGTATCTAGTAAATAAACTCATTAATTGTGAACCCTCCTCCTCCCCCATCATGGCTACCACACATCAACAGCCTCTCATTTGGGACAGGGGAATACATTTTTTTTTTTTAAAGTATTGTTGGTTTATCCAAGGGTTCTCAAAATGTGATCCTAAAATGGGCAGAGTCAACATCCCTGGGAATTTGTCTGAAATGCAAATTCTCGACTCCTACCGCAGACCTTCTTCTTGACCGAGAAACATGAAGATGGGGCCCTGCAGAGGACTGAGAGTTTGAGACCCACTGGTCTAGGCAGTAGAATATATTTAATTTTCCTACTTTCTAAGTTAGAACTTGGCTCCACGTGAAAAGCTAATATGCAGAGTCCCCGACCGCAGAGCCACCCTCACAAGGCACTTGTGTTAGGCAACTCCTTCCGACACCTGCAGCAGGATACCAACCTCAGTGGCGGTGGTTTCCCCGTCAGCCGCGGTGTCCGTGCGCTCGCTGTCAGTCTATTGATCACAGAAGTGACCAGGGTCCGGGAGGAAGGCAGGAATAGAAAACAAACCCATTTGGTCAAATAAGGCATGGCACGGGTCAAACAGTTCACTCTCTTTCTATGTGATCAGTATGCTACTACCTTCCCACAAGAATGCAGATTCAAGCAAAAGCACAAGAAAGGCCAGAGCTAGGCTTTCTCAGCAGAGCCACTCAGAGGAAGACCAGAGGCGCACAGCCTGCGGGAACCGCAGGAACTGCATCAGCCGAGCTGACTTGTCTGGTTTCGTGTCTCGGGAAAACCAAATTGTCGTTCTTCCCCCCCCTTTTAATTAAGCCCCCGAGAAAGGTCTCTTAAGAATGTTTAATGCATATAAAATTGACGTTTATATCTGTTTTTCTATTCTTGTAACGGGTCACATTTGAAAGGTAAGGTATAATGTAAATTTAAATAAAAAGCTACTGTAACAGTCGCTGGACTTTCAGCCCCTCATTTATATCCTGTTAATAATTCGCACCCATTTATGACCATCAGGCTGTCTGCATTACTTATTAATTATAAAAGGCACATGCCAGTGACTCACAGGCATATGTTTTATATGTGAAAACAGAACTCAATTTTCGAGGAGCAGGGTTAGCTAGATTTTTTTTATAGACTAAACGTGGTGTTTATGTTGCCCCACCCTCCAATATAAAGAAGTATCTCAAAGTACGTATGTAAACATCTCTTTCCAAAACAACCATTCAAATGATGCAACTTATAATAAAAAAAATAAAGGGCGAGAAAGAGAGACGTCTACTCGTAAACATATAAAACAAAGCACAGCATTTGACAGGGCCTAAGTTTTTTTTGTTTTATTTTTTTTTAATGTTTTTTTTATTTATTTCTGAGAGAGAGAGAGATAGCATAAGCAGGGGAGGGTCAGAGAGAGAGGGAGACACAGAATCTGAAGCAGGCTCCAGGCTCTGAGCTGGCTGTCAGCACAGAGCCCGATGTGGGGGTCGAACCCACGAACCGTGAGATCATGACCTGAGCCAAAGTCGGATGCTTAACCGACTGAGCCACCCAGGCGCCCCAACAGAGCCTAAGTTTTTAAGGGAGAATCATAATGGCATTTTTAGGATTGGTTTTTAAGCTGTTTCATAGAGGTTTATGATTTAAAACAAACTAGTTTCTCTGGAGTCTAGGAGCACCATCACCGTTGAAAATGGGACGTTTACATGCCAGAATACAATATTAACTGGCTTTCCCTCTGCAAATGTCAGCTAATCATTAATAAGATTCCCTTGAGCAAGGATGAACGATTAATATTTTGAAAACAAAAATCAAAACTGGGGGCGGTAAGCTTGGGAACCTGCCTCTTCAAATCATCTTTCAATCCTGACAATAAGGAATGTCAAGAAGGATGACAGGGACAGTGTGATGTTCACATCCTCCTAACTCTGCCTAGGCTGACTTCTTGGCACTGTCCCGAATTTTCATTTGATATATTCCTACAAGAAAACACGTTAAAAATTCATGTTTGGTACGTGCGCCCGAAGTAGCCAGCTACCATGCTTCAGTAGAACACAGCTCCCAGGGGTTTGGTAAAGAATGTGTGCGGGCACGTTTTCATGACCTGTCTTGGCAACACCTGGTGGGGGAGGGGTGACCATTAGTTTTCTCTGAATGGTGATCATTGCTATGGTACTAGCATGGCGTCACTGACTGCCAGCCTAGGGAAAGGCTGACTTGACTTAGGGGGAGAGAGATGGGTTATTGTTCAAGTGTTCGGACTAACTCCAAGAAGCCTTGGGCTTTCAAGGACAAAGAATGACCTGTGTGTCCTGTGCTGACTAGTTTTGTGAAACACTTCCAAAGGGCTTGGAAGTATTTCTCTCTCCTCCTACATACTTTCCCTTATGGCTTTAAAATTCACTGAGGCATCTTGGCTTTTAGACTACAGTCATGGTTAAGAGTGGGGAATCTGATGTCAAACTGACATGAGCTCAAATCCTTGCTATTTAAATTTGTGACACACTGGACATGTTTCATATTTTAGTCCCAATTTCCTTTCAGTAAAATGGAGAAAGTAACAGCCCTATCTGTATCAGGTAATGGATATTTAACATCCAATATAATGGATATTGGATAATGGACATATAATTGGATATATAATATCCAATATAATGTCTGACACATACAGACCTGAAAGTGCCTACGGTAACTGTAATATGTTGATATTATTATATGCTAGTATCACATTATAACCTTATATAATTATCACTACTGCTTTTTCTAGCTATACAAAAAAAAAAAAAATAGTTTAGGCCATATCTAAAGTCCCTTAGATTCTTACTGACTCCGTAGCCAGTTATTCAATAAATGTAGTGCACAATCAGTAAATAGTTAATAAAAGGCTGAATAAAGCAGTTTTTATAGCAACTGCTCATTATATGACTGAATAAAACTACAGAAGGTACAACACGTCACAAACTATCAGATAATTCTCCGTTTACATAACTTAAAATGTGAAAAATCGGCTGATCAATTCATTTTTCCTCCAAATTTGAATCTTCTTCATATTTTGAAAAAATCCCTCACAAATTAACACATAATTACAATCTATGGTACGGTGGGCTAAATACAGCTCATGTTTCTTGACTGATGATGTAACATTCTGTTCCCTTTCTCATGTGACCATTCCTGAAGGTACAAAAGAGAAAAAATGATCGGCCAACAAGCTTTATAGTTGAAATGATTATGCCTTTTCTCCACTGGGGTTCGCTCTTGAGAAAGGAGGGAACTAATTAAGCCACTGCAAGATGTGAAAACCTGAAGCAGTGATGGTAGAATATTTGAAAAGCCATTAGTAATTTTGCAAAACGAACATGACACAGCTGAACCGTATGCTACACGAAATCACCCCGTTTAGCTGCCAAAGTGCTTGAGGCCTGGAGACTAAAACAGGCCATGTAAACAAATGGCTTTTTTTTTTTTTTCTTAAATGGAATGACCTACATAGGAGTCCTCTGGCTCAGCCTGACCCAGAGCGCACAGCTCTTAACACTTGGGGTTAAGAGAAGACACTGAACAGATGGCCACATGCGAAGTCTTGTGTCAGGAGAGCTGTCGTGGTTGACCCAGGCTGGAAAGGAGGGCTGAGGAGACCGTGGCAGCTAGAGCTGGCTCGCAGTCGCAGAGGTTTGCAAGGACAGGGACAGTTATCTGCTGGAAGGCTCCGGTCACGTGGTCCCTGGCTTGCGCCGGGTAACCGCTGTGATTTGTTTTGCTGATGTAATGCAGACATGCCCAAATTTAACATTAATTTTCATGCACTGATTACAACAAGATGTACACCCTGGATTAGGCACAAGATCTGTGTGGTTTTCTACAGAAAAGTTCGGTTATTTAGATTTCAGAAAAGCATACAATGGCAATCTTTTTTGGTTTATGTTAGCTTGACGACTAACTCCTTTGCTAAAGGCAAAATATACTTCCAGGTTGGAATCCAGCGCATACTACGGTCTTTAGAGATAATCATGTGTTCTTAATGTTGTATGTTCTAGTCCTACATTATTTGATAATATTGCCTCTATGAAAAAGAGTGATGGTAAAGGCTAGGATTCATTCTCTTAAAATATTTTCCACAGAAGAAAATTTAGTTCTGTATTAAATATATATTTGGAGCTAAGCAATATGATCTAAGAACCTTGATAAAGGGTGAAAAGGGCCAACTTTTATTTAAAGCATCTATGAGACCATTTCCATTTTTTTCCCCTTCTGCTAAGAAATGGTTGTAATATCACTAAATATAGACACACACCTTGCCATTCTATACGCTCACAGGTGCCCCTCAAATTATGATTTCTAGCTGAGCTGAAAACTGAATAGATTTTCCTTTTTTTTTTTTTTAGTGTTGCTTTGACTTTGTGACTTTTTTTTTTAAATGCTGGGAGTGCTGGGCTTGTCTCCTGCCACAAAAAGCCTTGCTCTGTGAGAACGGAAGAGCTGGAGGGGCCTGGGGAAGGTGTGGGCAGGCGGGTGGGTGACAGCCGGGCCCCGAGTTGGAGGCTTCTGTTCTTCTCCCCTGCGCTCTGTCTGAAGGGACTGCGGGGCTGTTCACACAGCTGTGGCATCATGTGACAGGAGAGCAGTTATGAGGCAAAGCTACTGGCTGCTGTGTCAACTCACCCGCTGGCTGGGGTAAAGGGCAGGAGATGGACAGGCAGCAGGTTTGCTAAGACAGAGGCGGAAGGCCCCATCCTTTCCGCCACGGAGCACATGCTTGGCTGAGAGCCACAGGTGCCTCTCCAGCCTCCCTGACCTCCCCAGACTGTCCCCCTGTGGGTGTCGATCTTTCGGCCCACGCCAGTATTGAAAGAATCGTGGCCACCCCGTCTCTGCACTGGTGTGGTCAGGGCGACGAAGTCTCTGCCTGTTTTTACAGTGTGTGGACATCTTAAAGGAGTTGCTTCCTAGGTGTGAAAACTGCAATCCCTTCGGGTCCTCCCTGCGGCCCTATCGCTGACTGAGGTCACGAGGGCCTTCTCAACTACTCAAGCATTTTTCTCTGACCCCACACGCCCTTGGGATCTGCCTGGATCACCTGCGTGAGTCACAGCGACAGTCTGGCAATGACAAAAGAAAAGCATCGTGGGGACATGTCAGAATCTGCAGGGAGGAGAGGCATTTCCAGTTTAGGGGAGCTACCCCACACCCCGATGAGGATGACACCCCTCCTGCGATGGTCACTGCCACTCGCCTTGAGTATCATTATGCCAGGATGCGTGCAGCTAACGCTCCATAAACCTGGGTCAAACTTATTTCTCCATCCTCTAGGTCATTTACTTTACGAAACGGTAAGCAACCAGAACCGTTAACCTAACCCGGATTTTTTAACAGCGCTCAGGGGTTGTTTGAAACTGACTTCTGAGTCCTTCAGCATCCGGAGAATTCAGTGGGTAGCGGAGCGATTCCGGGCTGGGCGCAGGCTGCTCCATCCACATGGTGTTGTGCCTAACCCTGGGGCCGGGTGGTACTCCCCGACACACAGAAACCTCTCACATGTCGGCACAGACAATAAATGAGGCTCTGAAAGGAGGGCCGCTAGTGCGGTAGGCGCCTAACACTGTTTCGGACCGAAGCCCCGACCACGACAGGGAAGTGTGTTCTGTGCCGAGGTACACACCTCTTCCTCTGAACTGTCACTCGGGTCATTGTCTAGTGAGGCACTCAAGGAGGCCGCCTTGGGCTCCAGGTAGCAGAGGCACATAGCCAGAGGGAAGGAGAGAGTGAGGGCATATGGCACTGAGAAGGAGGCGGAGAGCAGAAAGAAAAAGATGAAGAGGAAACAGGGCACGAGGGAGGGTGAGCGGATCGGGAGGTAATGCTGCAGGCTCTGGGGAAGGAGGCTGGTTTCCGACAGGTTGGGGAAAGAGAGGTACCCATCGTCGTCTAGAAGAGAAGGGAACGACTCCGGGAGCTGTAAGGAGAAGGAAAACAGAGTGGTCCCTTTGCCGGTTTGCTGTCTGTAGCTAAAAGCCACATCCTGGTCCCCTAAGGACGGCTTCCCTTTGCGGTCAGAGTCCGGGGCAGGCTCTCCGCGCACGGCGCCTGTGGCCGGCTCGACCCCCGGGGTCTGGTGGTCATTCTCCTTACACCTCCTTCGGAGCTCTGGGGGGGATGCGGGGGGACGATGGGCTGATGAGGGGGAAGGGGGGCATGAGTCAGTGCCAAGCCCAGGTGACTGATGTGAAAGAGACAGAGAGAGACAGAAAGCAGCAAACAGAGGTGCAAAAGGACAAAAAGAAAACTGCAATTAGTTACTTTTCTTATGGGTATCAATATAAAATTGTAAAACAAGAATTTTAGCACTAGGGTTGTTCATGTATTTAAAGTATTCAAGCTACATGCCAACGATGCCACGAATGGCTACCGTTTCCCCATCAGACCGTCGATTACAGGCTGGGCTCTTTAAAAAAAAAAAGTCAGAACCGAAGATATTGGTGGGCAATCTCAGAGTCTACATGTTTCACACCATCCACAATGTTTGTTTAGACTCAACACCTCTAGGAAGTTTCAGGGTTTTGAGAGCAAATGTTAACTCTCGGATAACTACTTAAATCAAGACTTTCAATAACGTCTCCTGATCTCCAGCTAACAGATCTGTTACTAAAGTTTGGTTGATTTGAAAAATAAAAATGAATCCAAGTTTTGATTATTTAAAGAAAAAAATCTTGAGCATCACCTTTCCTTGCTTAGTCAATCCCATCCCAAACGGGTGGGTTTCCAATCAAGAAGTTTCTGGCCCCACTCCCATCTGATCAGCAGTGCCACTCAGGGAGTTTGACAATTAGCAATTTAGGAACTTCTGCTCCACACAGAATTGAGGTTCCTTTGAAAACTTCTATTGGGGCTCCCTTCTCCATGATGCAAACAGAACTTAAAACTCAAATGAAGGTTTCAACAGGCTAACTAGCAAAACACCATGTGTTTTCTTGTGAAACACATCAGCCTTTACCTTTGGACTATTTGTGGTCCGTAAATGACAGAAAGGTACAATCTCCCAGCCTTCTAGTTTTTCTTAGCTTGTAATCTCTATATGTAACTCCCCTGGTTGGAGTCCTTAACAGAATGAATGATAAAGGCAGGCAGCCCCATAAAAGTGTCCCCAGGGAATTCATGCTTCTGCAGGGAAAGAGAGGCCCCCTTTCCATTCTCTCTGGCCCCTGTGGCCTCTAGAACCACAGCAGGCTTCCTCTCTGTAGGTGGTGGAGGGCTGCTGTGCAGGGGCAAGGAGGGGGGAGGGTGAGGGAAGCAAGCAAACTCCCCACAGGACCTAGCACAGCTCAGAAGTTCAATTCAAGGTCACACAGAGCCTGAAGCTAGACTCCCACTGCTCGCTGTGACACTCTGTGTGTGTACGTGTGTGTGCACATACACCTGTGTTTTGCCTAGAGACTTGAGAGCGTGGAAATTACCCAGCTTGCTTTCTAACTCCCAATCCTCACTTGGTAACTATAAAGACAGAGGGTAACAACATGTGCAAATAAAACTGTACCATGGATATATTAGAATTTAGAAGTGTCTCCTTTTAGGCACTAGACAAGTCTTTTCTCAAAACTCACATCTGATGTGAAGCATTGTGTTTTAAATAAACATGACCTTGCACAAGTCTCATTCAAGCGAGAATAATATATAAAACGTCCACGCTGACTTCTGCCTGCAGACTATGGTTCCCCTGGTGGTGGACGGCTTGCCTGGTCACCTGGGGCGATCATTAGCCTGGGAAACATTCCTCCTCTCAAAGCAACCTAGGGGACCAGCCTTTTTAGAACTCTTTTCAGTACTACTTTCATTTTGGTTAAAAAATGAGTACCCTCTTTGTTACTTGTTGAAGATGGAGAAGAATAAAATGAAGGTTTAGTTTTCCATGCTGCTTATTCAAGTGGTTTTTCAAGGACAGCTCTGCCCTGTAGAGAAGAAAGATGGCCATCTGCCTACCTAAGCACTAGGTCAGGGCCACTGCCTTTCTGAAGGCATTTGGGTCAAAGTGCTGGCTTCTCAGAGATTCAGACTAGGAGAGTCACAATTTTTTGTCCTTTTATTTTCCCATGGCATAAATGGCAAGGGGATGATAGTTTAGTGCTATATTTTATATAAACAAATCTGTGGTCTTTTCAAATTAAATAAAGAGACAGAGCCTGGGTCTATTTTGGGAGCAAATTAAAAGTAATTTCCTTTAACGTGCCACTTAATCACAGTTACACATCCATGAGAATTGTCAGCTGGCGGGGGTGATTTCAGGAAATCGTGGAAATCGTCTGCTTTTCACGCATACTACCTTTTTCTCACGTCCTATTCAAAAGCTGCCTTGACTTAATTGGAGGGTAAGAGTGTAGAAACAAAATTCAGAACAAAGCATGCTTTAACAGCAAAAGCGATCCAATATCCTTGCTGTCATCTCCTATCATGTTTTTATTTTTGTGTTGGGTAAATAAATGATCTTACCTTGAAGAAAATGATGGATAGGGTTTCACGTGGAAAAGTCTGACATAACTACCATATGTTGGGGATCTACTCATCCCTATGTAACTCTTGTCCAAAGGAGCATTTTTCTTTAGAGACCCACGTGAGTCCCAGCCACATAAATCTATGTTTGAAGAGCCCAAGTTCAAAAGAACACTTGTGAGTCTCATCTAGGCAAGTTTTAGCCTAACCTGTGAGCCACACAACATTTTTATTCTGCTATTTTACTCTGTACATTCCAGGAGCCGCTCTGTTTTGCTATGATCATTACCCACAAAAATCCCAATATGGGTTTTTATTTATTTATTTATTTACTTTTAGAGAGCTGCTCTGCTACTTATATGATCCTGAACCAGAAGCAGATTGTCTACAGGTTTCCTGACTTATTTTTCCAAAAAGTTGCTTTATAATTCCAGATTACCAAAAAATAAATATGCCGTAAGAAATACTGGATGAAATGAAGTTTAAAAAATATAATGAATAAAACACCTTGGAGAAATTGCTGCCAAATTCACCTTCCCTCTTCCCTTACAAAGTTCTGCTTTAATATCTCTTTTTAAAACATGTCTGCTTGCTACTTTGATGATTAGATTATGGTCACAAGGTTAAGAGGGGTAACAGTGTATAAATACACAGGCTATGGTCACTCAGTAACTTGCGCTCATATGAATGGCAATGTGGTTACTGGACAGCTAGAAAAATATACAGTCCTTGGGTAGGAGAATGGGGCCAGAAACAAAGAAAATAATTTTAGTGATAGTTCTGAAATGTGAGCCCAAAGAGAAGTGTCATATGGCACTAAATATATCTTTAAGGTATACAGACAGGATGGCTGTTGAAAGTCTTACAGAGCTCAAATAAAAATTTTCAAAAAGTTAAGGAAAAATCTTTCAGAAGAAAAAAGTCGTCAGAGGAAATGGCAATTTAAAAATTGACCACACGAACGTGACTAATGCTGAAATAGGAGTTACCCTAAGTCTGATGAGCACATTCCTGGTTTCTAGCCTCGGAATCATTAAGTAGTTTATAAAAGTCTAAGCAAGCTCTCGGAGGGAGTCTGGGAGATGTACCTTTCCCTCGTGCCGTACTGCTGCCACCGGCGTGGCTTCCTCTGCCTTTTTCCGTCTCTCTTCTTCCTCGTCCCGTTCCTCCTCGGCCTTTTTCTCCGGAGTCACAGTGGTGATCAAGTTGGTCTGAGAGATGCCCTTTGTTGTGGCGTACTGGCCAGTACCAACCTCTGCAGCAGACACAGAATCCTTCATGTATATTTCATGGTTTTCATTCACTGACGCTAAAAGCAAATATAATTGAAGAAAAAAATGTCTGAAATAGTTAAGGCAGAAGACCACCACCAATTATCCCATTATGGAAAAAAGTAGCCCTACCCACGTTTGTCTGAAAACTCCAGAGCACTGCAGGGACGCGCATCGAAATGCTATCAGAGACTCAGCTTTCTGCGTCTTCTACACCAGTGTCTTAAAATTATTTAAACGCTCATCACCTGAAGCCACCAGAGTAATTCTCAGGCTCTCTGGTGAGGATAAGCGTGAGCGTGGATGCGATGGAGGGGTTAAGAGGCTGGGCTGCTGCAAGCCTGTTACCCTACAGAGTAACTGGCTGGGCACCGGCACCAGGCACTAGTGGGCAAGTCCCGCAACTAACAGCAGTATTTGCAGCAGACAACTGCTCTCATACACTTGACTTTGAACGAATCTTTGGAAGTGCCATTCAGCAAGGAGCACTGAATTGGGTTCTTTAATTACAGTCATTAGTAATGGTTAAAGAGTCCATCACTCCTACAATATCAAAGTCCCATGGTTGATCATGAAAATTAATGATCTTGGTGGGATTATAAAATTTGGAGCGATTTTACAATCTAGATGGCAACTCTGTTCAGCTGGAGTGTGGAAATGTTTTAATTCTGACTGCACTTTAAACAGACTACCGTGATATGCATACACTCATTCATCTCTGGTATTTTGGGAAGACAAGACAAATGTTGCTAATGAAATCCATGCAGATGTAAGACATGCAAACACAAAAGGTAGAAGACACAGCCTTTCATCCCCGCTAAAATGTCTTAGTGAAAGATGCTTAATTCAGTTATGTTTTTAAAATCTGGTACTCATTAGTTTAGGCTGTAGGTATATACAACTTATTTAAACTTATAAATGATGCTTTTCAAATACACAGGAGCCAATCACGGGAAAAACATAATCAGCTTCATAGTTTAGGAAGTCTAAAATGTAAATGGAGAAAGATATTATAAAATGCTTTTATAACAGCTAAACCATTTCATTAAGATACTTTCACTAAGATATTTTATATTTCCTCATATTGATGAAAGAAAGCTCGTGTGAGACGCAGTTTTCCAATGGGTCAGTTAGGCTGTTCTACATAAGATGCAAACTTGCAAAAAGCAATTTGTGTTCCATCATGCAGCCAAGGCACCCCACTCGGCAGTGCAGAAAACATACTGGAACTGGCAGGACCCCAAAGAGTGAGAGACAACACATACTAACATCACTTTTGGGCAGGGAGGAAGAGACAGTATGGTATTAGTACATTTAGTTCACAATTGTCTTCTGTCTTGTCAACAGTCATTATCACATGAAAGGTCATGAGGAAAACAACATTCACAACAAATGTGTTCCCTTGGGTACACATCACTGAACAAAGTGGATGAGAGCCAGGGAAAAAAGAGGTGAGTCTACAAAAGTTCCTTCAACACTGACTTATGGAATACACAAAGAGTTTACGGAGATTCTCTAAAGCAAAAAGAAGAATAAATGGAACAAAGCAGTAAGAAAAACTTCAGTGTTAACGTGAATATTTCGTTATCTTAATTCAGCCCCAAACGGTCCTAATGAACATTGTACTCCGGAAGTTTAGCTCCACGTTAGAGATTTGAAAAACAGGCAACTATTAGAAAGTACAGAATGGTTAATTAAGTTCATAGGCCAGCTCACAAAAGCCTACAATAATAATTATGAATGTAATTATTATTACACCTATAACAAGAATGCTTTAAAACGTGTCTCATTCACTCTTTCTTTGCAAAGAGACTTCCTCCCATATTAGGGATGATGATGAAAACTGAGACCTGGCGAATTTAAATCATTTGCTGGGTGCTACCCAGATGGGCTTTTCTTCTTCACCAGTTAACATACATAATATAATGCTAATGACACAATTTTGACTTCCTCTACAAACTGTTTATAAAGGATTCCATAGCAAAAGGCAATCTTCTAAAGCAGAGGATGCAGGAAGTAGGTCACCCCACCAGCCACACTGGGCTACAGGGAAAGGGGAGAGAGAGCCAGGACTATGGTGAGCGGTGGCAAAAATGTGAGGAGGAAGGTGATCCCAGACAACGGTGACTTCATTATTTTACTATTTTAATTTCACAGGTTTTGCCTATTATTAAAATTGTACATACGTGCTAGAAACTTATGCTTTTTATATACACTGTATCTTCTATAAGACAACTAATGTCCAGGTAGAATTAGAAACAGAAACTTGGCCATGGGTCACTTTCTTTAATTTTTTTTTTTAATGTTTATTTATTTTTGAGAGAGACAGCATGAGTCGGGGATGAGCAAAGAGAAAGGAAGACAAAGAAGCAGGCTCTGGCCTCAAGCTGTCAGCACAGAGCCAGATGTGGGGCTCGAACGCGTGAATCATGGGATCACAACCTGAGTCCAAGTCGGAGGCTTAACCAACTGTGCCACCCATGAATCACTTTCTAAGTAAAGTATTATTCCAGCTGCCATGTGATGTTGAAGGAAGCCCATCTGTGCATAACCACGGACAGCAACACAAAACTGTCACATAAGACAAAAACTTGCTAAAAACTCACTACTATGTCATTTCTTAGAAATGTTATTTACGTGATTCTCTCCCTGTGTAACTTCCACAATTTGCCTTAACGGTGGAGAACGTTTACATGGCAATGCTCTCCCAGTCCATCTGGTGCAGTAATTAATATTAACAGGAGGATTTAACTTGGAGCCTTTGGATCTATCATTTAAATGCCATCCTTTCTACCGGCTATCATGCACTGACTGGTAACAGTCGCATTTCATCCCTGAAAATTCTGTAGAAATGGAGATAAATTTAACTTATGGTCTTCCTTCTGAAATAAATGGACTGAAACAAACCCGATAATCATTTAAGGTCTGCCAACAAGAGACCCAAATTATTTACAGAGTACGTGACAACTGTATTTAGAATGAGATCATCTTTCTCTACATTCAGGGTGCCGGCTGATGAAAGCTATGCTCTTCATTCCCTAAGCACCATTCTTTTATGGAATAATTTTATGTAAATATACCAATAACAGACATTAGAATCACATAGGCACTTTTTTTTTTTTTTTTTGGAGGGTGGGGGTTACAACTTGCCACTCGGTCACAGACCAAGGAGTGCTTTTGATTTCACTGTGGGGGATCTACGGTTATTGAAAGCTTGTGATGGTTTCACGCTATTTCTGGGTAGCCACTCATAATTATTATTAGTAGTAAGGATTAGGAAGTGATGCCTACCTCCATCCAAGCTGCGAGACATGGTATAGCGTTTGCTAGATGAGCGTTCGAAGTAAGGAGCAGGACGATCTATCAATGCACTGGCTCTTCTTGTTTGGGCTTGTGTTCTACCACTGTAACGGAACTTGGAGCCCAAGGTAAGGAATTTCTTTGGAGGTGCTTCTGGTAACAACAGTCTAAAGATATTAAAGAAAAAATACCAGAGAGACTATTGAGTCAAATATTAAGAATGCCATCTTAACTTTTTTAGTCAAAGGTAAAGTGTTTTGTATGGTTAACATATAAGATGTTAAATGAATGTTGTTTAAAAAATTTTTTTAATGTTTATTTTGGAGAGAGAGAGAGAGAGAGAGAAAGAGAGACAGAGAGAAAAACAAAGCATAAGTGGGAGAGGGGCAGAGAGAGAAGGAGACAGAATCTAAAGCAGGCTCCAGGCTCTGAGCTGTCAGCACAGAACCTGACTCAGGGCTCGAACCTGTGAGCCGTGAGATCATAACCTGAGCCGAAGTTGGATGCTTAACTGACTGAGTCACCCACGTACCCCAAATGAATGTGATTTTATAGGGAAAAAAATCAATTCTCACAGGTACATGTCAAGCAGGGAACTGTAGAGAGGCTATAAATACAATGGGGGCCAGCTTGGACTCCATGAACTTTAATGTCCCATGCGACTGAAGAGTTTATGGTTCTCTAAACCCAAAGAGCAATTAAATAGGTGATCTTAGTGAAGAAGAAAGGTGATAAAATTGTTATTTTGTAGAAACAAATCTGATAGTCTGAGTACTGTATGTAAACAAAGGAGCCCAGCGTATTAAGAAATGACTGAAATGGTAAGGAATGGAGTGAATCCTTGACGTGGACATCTTATAAAAATAATGAAAGGGCGCTAAAGGTAAAAAGAAAGGGGGGTAGATGCATAAGACAAATTAAGGAAAATCCTTCACTCAGAAGTTCTTTTAGGATTTCTTGTCAAGAAACCTGGTGACAGTGAACTTGAAGGAACAGAAAGGATATACTTCCACATTCTTCTTCCCAACCAACTTTTTCAGTAGAAGTGATTCCAATCAGTCTAAGTCTTCCTGAGGAAGAAACAAAATCATCCTTACCTACCTGAAAAATGTGTGATGCTCAACACATACTTTCCATAAACGCTTGGCAGCCCGATGGTTTGGTAGCTTAAACCCGATTGTGCTTTCAAATTGTTCAAACTAAATGAAGAAAAAAAAAAAAAACCACACAAACCACATGTTGAGTAGTAAAGGCAAGAGTGCAATTATAAATAACATAAAAGAAAATAATTTACAAAATCATGCCCCCTCTCACAAGTGTTTTCCTTTACTCACAAAATCAAGTGCTCTCTGCAGAATTCACGCTATACACATTGACTCGTTAAAAGACAATCTTGCATTTATTCTCCTTAACATGCTGCAGACATAGATAACCACATTATGTGTGTAAATGTTTTATGTACGAGTAGGGATGTTATGGAAACTGAATGCAAAAAGGACAGTATCTGGATTTCTTCCGGAGGCCAATTTGTCCTGATCTCGTTTTTAAGTCTCATTTTCATGGTGTCTCTCGGACACCATGACCAGAATGTACAGGAATATACCAAATGTTTAGAGTCGGCAGCATTTTCAGGATGACATTTTCTCCCCGGATGCGGTCAGAAAACGTGCGTATCTCCTAGGTAGCTGATGACCTGGTATCGGATTTGCTGATTGTTTACGCATTCTAGTATGCATTATTTGCTATCATATATAGATCACAGGTTGGGAGAACACAATTTCATTTCTTGCAGCATGTATAGCTCAGATGAAAGGAATCTTTCTTAGACTCAAAGGAATCTATCAGCTATTTGATTTCTCAAGGCGAAATATCTGACTTCCTGAGGAATGTTTTTTATTATTATTGCAAATGTTCAATATTTTTTAATTTTCTGATGACGGTATGCATCAGGCCACCAGAGGGCAATCATTTTAAACAGTAAAAGCTTTCCCAAAGAGCACAAAACAACCAGACTGTTGATGCAGTCAACAGAAAAAAAGTAATTTATGTACCAAAGAACCAAGAAGAGGGGCCTTGAGCGTGGCCTAGGAGATATAACTGTGCTTGGCTTTTTTTTTTCTTTTTAAAATTTGGTTAATATTTATTTATTCTTGAGAGGGAGGGAGGGAGGGAGGGAAAGAGAGAGAATGAGCAGGGGAGGGACAGAGAGGGAGAGAGACAGAGAATCAGAAGCAGGCTCCAGGCTCCAAGCCATCAGCACTGAGCCTGACACAGGGCTTGAACTCACAAACCATGAGATCATGGCCTGAGCTGAAGTTAGACACTTAACCCACCGAGCCACCCAGGTGCCCAACTATGCTTGACTTGTTTCTTAGTTGAGCAGGACTAGGTGGTGTTGGGGGCAGGGAGACTGGGAAATACATCACAAGCTGCTCCAATCACAATTGCCCCTCCCAATTTTTTACTCACTTGGGACATTCACGTGTAGGAGCAGTTGTGAAAGTCGCTATTGGCCAAGAGCCCCAGTCAGTCAGCACACTAGAGTATTCTGGATCGTGACTAAATCATCAGTTTATTCATCCTGCATCTAATGTGTACCATACGCTTGCTTGCTGCTACAAGAAGCCAGGACGATTTTCTTACTGCTGTCTTCCTTAGACCAGAGATGACCCTGCGCTTTTTGAATGCTTCTCTATCTCTCTGTGCTTTGTACCAATTTCTCAACCTCTTCAGAGCCTTTGTGCCACCACTCACTTTTTCTTTCTTCTCAGCCTATTTACGATTGTGAGAAAAAAAAAAGGTGGGAGTGGGGGACAACTTTCGTGAAGCCTGCCTTATGCCTGAACCACAACCCCATCTCACTCCTTGATGAAGGTCAGGAAGGAGAAGCCTTGGCTACTCCACCCCTTACTTCACTGCAGCCTGGAAGGTGCTCCCACCACTTTCTCGAACTCTTCAGTGGAACAATGGGCTCTGTCAAGTCAATGCACTTTTCTTAATTCTTAGCCCACAGGTCTTCTCAGTAACATTTGGCCCAGCTGGTTAAGCACGTGCCCAGCATCTAGTCTAGTCTCCTTGTCACTTGTGACTTTTTGCCCCTTTTCCCACTCTGGCTGCTTTTCTTCATCTCCCTATGTTCCTCTTCTGCCTACTCCTCTCTCTCAAAAAAAGTGATGTCACCCAGGGTTTCTGCTTGAGGGTCTCTTCTTCTGTAACTTCCCTTGTTCTATGGGTACCTTATTTCCTGCCTGAGGCCTTGAACAGAACAGATGCAATTGATGACTCCTTCAAACTTGTATTTCTTACTATGCAAGAATCACCCCCTGAAAATGTCTCCAAGGAATTTAACCATTTTTTCCCCCTGAAATTCTCCCTGTTTTCTCCTCTGATCAATAATATCACATCCGTCAACTTCACACATGCCACGTGCAGGCCTCCGAGGATCACGGACTCCTCCTCAGCACCTTCCTCCACCCGGTGTCCAAGCCCTACTGGTTCTGTTTCTGAAACCTCTCACAGTTGCGCCTTCCATTCTATTCCCACAGCCTCTGCCCTAGTTTAGGTCTTACCACATCACTGCTAAGCTGCTGAGTCTCATTCCAAATTATTCGTCTAGTCTATCACGTCCTCTTTAAAACCCTCCATGGCTCACTACTGTCTCCTGACGCATTTCTCCAATGTTCCCAACCGGGCGCTCACGGCATGTTTATTCCATGTACGCAGAATTTTATCATATGCGCGATATGTATCACGATGACAGAATTCTTAGTATGCAAGACTGTTTCTTTGCTAAACAGAAAGTTCCTTAAGGATGGGGACCAACATGGTGCCCGGCAATAAACAGGTGCTCACTTAGTAAAGGTTGATGAACCAAATCTACATTGGTTATAAGTTTACTATGCAATTTTGGGGAATTATAAAAAATGAATTTCAGGTATTTATGTGAAAAGCTTACAGATTATTTCAGTCTTCACAGACAAATTTGACTTTATATTTACATTAAACAGGATTCCTTGCTGTATAGTCTGATTTTAAAGTGAGGTACAGCTGACATATAACATTATATTAGTTTCGGGCATATCACATGATGATTCAACTGTGAGATGATCACGGTCAGTTTAATTAACATTCATCACCCCATGTAGTTACATTACAGATCTTTTTTGTTGTGATGAGAACTTCTAAGATCTACTTTCTTAGCAACTTTCAAATATACTACACAGTATTATAACTATAGTCACCATGCATCACATTACATCACATGTCACTTGAGTTTTAAATTACATTTTCCACCAATGGAGAGGCTGACTTTGAAGACAATAATTCTGTATTGTACCAGAAAAAGTTCAGAGACACAGATGAGCCGCAATCTTAGCGCTCGGCCTGCCTCCATTAGATTATGCATGACCATTAGAAACTGGATATATTTATTCATCATCTATTAAACAGATAATAGGAACTATTTACCACTTATTATGTGTAAACCACTTTGGAGGATATAAGCAGTTCAGGATGGTTGTGCCCAAGGAGCAATGATTAGTTAACAATTTTGATTTTCTCATCAGTCTATCCGATTGAAAGAAAAACGCAGAAATGTACTAGGCTATGAGACACTTACGTAATTTACCTTTGGTGTCTCTGGCTGTAATCTTTCTTGTGCTTTGATCACATTATCGCTAAGCTATTCATGTTAGGGTGCCAACAGATTTGGAGTACAAAGACAGGGCGTGGACACATAAAACAGGAAGAGACAGACAGGAAGAAATCTATTTTTTATTCACAAAAGGTTTAGCACCTAAGAGTTTCTTTTATACTGCAGTTGGAAATATACAAAACATTATTCACAAATCCTGATTTTACACGAAAGTCTTCAAAAATAAAAACTTTTCAAACTTTTCAATCTATGCAGTGGGACGACATTAGAATCAAACCATTAAAAAGAAGAGAATATTTACTGCTGCTTATTGGAAAAGCTTACGACAAATTCTTTTAGGCACGGAGACATAACTCACCATGTCCTGTGATGTTTGGAACTTGGGTGCAGGCAATTTAAATTTCTGTATGCTATCAGGTACCCTTCTTCTCAACGTACATGCAGATTCAGGGGTACTTACCTCTCCCGGCCGGATCTTAATGTAAAAGTTGTTCCGTTTGTATGAAATTTTTAGAACCTTTGGCCAAGCAAATCTGTTTATTCTCAGTCGGTCACGATATATCAACAGACCACTTGCACAAACTCCTAGCATAATTTCTACTCCTTCAGAATCCTGGAAAAGAGCACCAAGAAACAACGGATCAGTATTTCACTTACTTCCACGGACAGCTGAATAGGGGATTTAAGCTTCCGTGAAGGAACCTGTATTTGACTACCTATAGCTCTAATTTAAATATGAAGAATACAGTGGCTGGTTTTTTTTTTTTTAAACACTGCCACTAAATAGTATGCCCCTGCTGAAGATACTAATCACTATGGAGCTATGTCAGAGTAAAACTGGCTCACTCAGATAACCTACAATGTAATATCACACACAGAGAAGGGCAACCAGAGGATGTGGTAATAACAGTACAAAATCATCGCTGATTCTAAATGTTTCTAAAATGGTTAGAGCTGCTGAATGTGTATTAACTCTTTTTGTTTTCACTGTGGTATTTTGTGACAGTTGCTAGGACTGTTTGTAGTTTACAGAGGAGGAAACTTTTCAGGCATGAAGAGGTTAAGTGTCCTTCCCCGGTGAATATGGGCAGCTTGGTTCCAGAGACAGAACGTTCAGCTAATACGGATACCAACAGAGAGGCCCTGTCCCTTCTGAAGAGTGTGTTGGAGTTTGTTCATTAAAAAAGAGGCTTAAAAAATCTTTTTTATACACCATTAGTGTCAGAGGAAAATTTAAATATAAAATTATTAAAATTTTTTTTTTTAACAGTTGTTCATTTTTGAGAGGGAGACAGAGTGTGAATGTGGGAGGGGTAAACAGAGAGAAGAGAAGAGAGAGAGAGAGAGAGAGATGGGGAGGAGACAGAGAGACAGATAGAGGGAGAGGGAGACCCAGAATCTGAAGTGAGCCTGATGCGGGGCTTGAACTCATGGACTGTGAGATCATGACCTGAGCTGACTGAGCCACCCAGGCGCCCCAATATAAAATAATTTTTTAAAGTATGAGTCTACTTCCCCAACGTGCCTGGAACACACACACTGCCCCAAGTCACAGTCACGTTTGAAAACCAGTTCACATACACGAATATCAGTGCATTTTCTGTATGTATGTAGTTTTCTTTAGGTGGGAGCATGCTATATTTGTAACTTGCTTGTTCTGCTACTTGCACATTTATATCTCCTTTAGGTCACTTCCTAGGGATGTGGGATGAGAAGTCGAGGTGAGAGGTCATCAGAGAGGTCACATAAAGCTCAGGAGATGTATTGTGTACAGCCTATGCCCCCTACATGTTGTATTTGGGCGAAACGGGGTAAAATGAACACACGTGATGACTCTGAGTAGGGGAAAAACAAAGGACAGAGGCAGGACTGTGTGTGAGGCTCAGCCTCCACCTCCTTGTCTCACTGGATGCTGGAAGCAGGGGGCGCATAGGAAGTGAAGCTGAGGTCTCCTGTCACATATTAAACAGCAGGACTGGCCCTGGAGCTGAGTGACTCTGCAGCAGTGAAGAGGGGAGGGACATGGAAGAATCCAAACAGGAGACTCTGACTCATCTGCACTGTGGAAATTGCCTTCCTCCATCTTGCCAGTGCAAGACATAAAATGAATATTTCCAGAATCAAAAATAAATATTTTGGTCCATCTCTAGGAAATGTTAAGTCTACAACTACCATCTAACCAGATTAAAATGAAATATTTTACCTTGGAAACGGATCGCTCCATTGAGAGATGAAATCGCTCTATAGAAATGGAAATACTTGATGGCAGGATATTACAACATAATTAAATCCTGAGGAGAACTCAAAGGCCACAAACTGCCCACCATCTATCAGGGGCTTTAATCTGAAAGAGCAATTTGAAGAGCGATAGCCTGATCCTGACAAATCGCTGGCACTATTGATCCTTCAGAACTAGCCTCTCTGCTCACAGGGCCGCTCAGAGGTGGCCCCTCGCACCAGGAGCAGAACTGCAGGCGTGAGGGGGCGCTGTTTGATTAAAGCTCCTTGATTCGCTGTGTGATAAATACAGACCTTAGTTTGGGAAATGGGCCTCTGACCTACAGACGAAAGGACATTTAAATTTTTTAAAATGTTTGTTTGTTTTTGAGAGAGAGAACGCACGCGAACAGGGGAGGGTCAGAGAGAGAGGGAGTCACAGAATCCAAAGCAGGCTCCAGGCTCTGAGCTGTCAGCACAGAGCCCGATGCGGGGCTCGAACCTACAAACTGTGAGATCATGACCTGAGCCGAAGTCGGAAGCTTAACTGACTGGGCCACCCAGGTGCCCCAAAAAAGGACATTTAAAACCTCCTTTGTTGTTATTTGTTTTAAAATCATCCATTACTGTCTTTGAATAAATGAGAAGACAGAATCCTTCACGGGGAAGATCAGGAAGCCTCCTCTGACCCCTCCTCTTCTCCTGCTCGCCTCCACCCATGCTCCTCTGTGTCCCCGTATCACTCTGCTGTCACCAGCAGACCCAAGCAGGTGGCGCTCCAGTGCGTTTCCTCCCACACCTCCTTCTCCTCAAGACTGGAAGCTGCTTGAGGGCAGGCGCTCTGGTTTACCCTGTACAATCAGTGGTCATACAGCGCCCCCTAGCATGCATTAGGCCATTACAGGTTTGTTAAAAGAGAGGGCAAGTTAAGAAAGAAAATGTCAGGAATAAGTGGGGTTTTAAATTGAGTGAGCGTTTCCATTTCCTTACTCCAAAGTAACAACAAAATAACACTCTTGATTATCAAGTGTTCTGCCACAGCCTGTAGTCTTGACATCAGCTTGGTGATTTTTTTTGTACTGAAAGCTGTCACAGCGGTCTTTATTGGGGACGTGGGTGTCTGCCTACCAGTAAACACATTTAATGCTCCCTTTAGCAGGGAACACTGAAGGGAGATCTGGATAGTCTCAGTCTATCATAATTAAAGTAAATGAGTGCACTATTCCCTTAATTTAAAATCACTGCTCAAACTCTGCATCCTTCATTTTTCACTCGGTCCCTGGGACAGCCGATAGGGATTTTTATCTGTATTTCAGAATCTTATATGAAATGAATGACTCCGACAGCACCTAACTCAGACTGACATTAAATGACAAACAAGCAGAGTCTTCCTAAGAAAAAAATACAAAGCATTTAGAAGAGGTTTTGCAAAACAAAGGACCCTCATCTAATACTATGTTATGTATTCTTTATCCAGAGGCATGGAGTCCAAGATCACAATTCGGAATTTCTAAACAGGCCCTAAAGCCCCAGGGCCTTTCAGACCATCCACAGAAGAGAAGCATCTCACTTATAACCGGAAATCAGTTCTAATTTAATTCAGTAAATTTCCTTCTTGAAATGTGGCTGCACCAAAAAATGGGAGTCCACACAGAACATTCGTTATACTTAATATTCAGATGAAATTCTATAATAGGCTGCATTTGTGCTTCCTTAACTCTTTCGTTTTAATTGGCTGGATTTCAAATCATATTAGTGAATGAAAAAGCAGTGATCTATTTTAATTTAGTAGCTATAGCAATGTTAAGTGATTTTTATTTGTACTGATAGGAACACTGATCAATCTGGAGCTACACGGCCCCAGATGCATCCCCTAATCTTTTATTTATTTATTTTTTCCCGGGCAGTAAGTGAATCATCATGAGTAATGTAACTCAAAAACAGCTTTCAATTCGCTCGAATTTGCAGGCTACCTTCATTTCCTTCTCGTTTCCTTATCTATTAGCCACCTAGGGAAACGCTTGAAGAGAAAAACAATCTTAGTGTATTGTCCTTATTTTCTTTTTAAAAATCTTCATCCTACCGTATACAGCATAAAATACACAACACTTCCTTATCTGAGTGAAAAAGAGGCGAAAAAACATAATAACTGGCAAGTCAATAGAGCTACACCTGCTGTTGTAATTACACACCAGCGTCAAGGAGTTTGGCATCCCATGTACCGGCGCATCCCTCAGATAGGTATGCCCCAGCCAAGTCTACGAGATTTTGCTAGTGTTCAGGCCCTCAAGCCTTGGAAGTGTCCTGTGTGATATACAGAACGGTCCACAGACATAAGCAATCAAACCTGTGTTTGCTGGATGGCCGCCATTTCGTTGTCCAAACTCAGCGGGGACCAGTCTGCCGACCGAGAGCCCAACAGGGAGGGGCCCCGCTTGCAGCATCAACAGAGCCTGCAGATCATAGATTTCCCTCCCACGGGTCCTCAGGGTTGTCGCAGTCCAGCTGGTACCTCTCTTCATTTGTTGGCCCCAACCCTGACACTGTAAGATACTTGGATGCCTGGAAGCCTGTTAACTGCGTGTTCCTTGGGTTCCAAATCATGAAACTGATGACTCTGCAGTCTGTTAGTACCAAAGGCACGTTCCTATTCAGGAGTGATAGTCTCTTGACAGCCCAAGTCAGAAGGAACTGCCCCTGAACTTCAAACACCGATCTTCTCAACGCTACTCAGAGTACCACAATCCATCCCAAGATCCTAACAAATTTTGTGTTTTGGATGAAAGTCTTCACAAAGCCTGCCTGTGCCTGCACAGTACTTTTATTCATAGCTGCTCATATAATAGACTAATAGTCCATACGGTCATTCTCTCACTGCTGAAAAGTACAGATATTCTGGGAAAAGCGTGACCTGAAGTAAACAGCTTTATGCACCTTCACCACCTCAACCGGCCTACAGCCCAATCCCAACTTCTTCAAAAGACTCCGTACCCAAGATATAATTTTAACATTTCGCCAATCACCAATCAACTAGGCAAGCCTTCGCTTGGGGGGTTAATTTTGGTTGAACTTCAGAATTACAACCTTATCTCAAAGCACTGATTATTTGTCAGAGAACCTAAGTTCTAGAGAGTTATTTCAATTTAACAGGAATTTGCTAAGTGCCTGGTGATCGTCCAGGCCAGAGGCATAAACGGCACTTGGCACGTAAAAGAGGTGACACTTGGGTCCTGACAGTTGGCCAAGTCTGCACAGGTAAGACAGGAAGGAGGACAGCCCAGCTGAAGACAGGCACATTCAGGGAGAAGGCGGACACATATCTGGCAGAAGCGAAGGGCACGTGCTGGCACAAGGTGGGAGATGAAACTGCGACAGGGAAGGGGCTGAGTCAGGAGCTTGTTACATGAAGATACATTTATAAGTGAACAGATAGGCAACCGTAGGCTTTGCCTCCTGTGGGGCTTTCAGGAGCCAAGGCCGGGAGAAACGGGAGTTTGAGCCATGCGGAGCAAACCCTTCAGTCAAAACCCCGGAGAGCTGAATTTGCTTGATCACAGAGTAGGCCTGAAAAGCACGCACAGAGCTGAATCCCCCAAGCTTTTATTTCTAATGCCAGGAGTAAAAATCACCAGCTTATATTAATGATAATCTTGAATGTAATAAAACCGAACAGGAAGTTTGGGGTTTAAAAAATGCATACCTTGGCATGATGTAAATCAACCCCATACATGGACAGTTTTTTGGCATTTTCCAAGAAATGCATCTCTGCTTCTGCTGGCGTCATTCCTCTGATAAGAAAAAAAAGTGTTACAATGCTGCTTTACTTTTACCTGGAGGGGCTGTAATCGTTCCCACTTCACCCCTGGTTCTCTACTAAGCAAGTCCCCGAAGAGGCACCAGCAGATCCGTGCTCTGCAGGGGGAGGGGGAGAATAACCGGACAAATGGCTCTGAAAGACCATTGGAGCGAGAACCTAAGTACCCAGAACCGTACCACGTTCCGGACCTCACTCAGCTACAGTCCCAGCCTCCGTGGTGCTGAAATCCGTCCTGGGAAAAGCAGGACGCTCACCCATCGGGGCGCACGCCATACGGAATGTTTTCAGGGTTCCCGCACTGACCTGTGGCTCTTGTGCAGCTCGATCACCTTATCTTCCAGTTCTTTCGTGTGGTTTGGTGCGAAGCGGAACTCGCTGATGTAATCACTCCCACACTCATCTGGGTCATAGTCTCCAAGCTCTGACTGCACAGTGTAGGAGCCCAACAGGGCCAGAGTGACAAAGGAGCAGGGCAGCCTTCCAGACACGATGTCATCTCGCAATTGTAGGCAGAGGTAGTACCTTCCAGGAGCCAAAGGAAAGGCAAAAAGCCAGTGTTAGGACATGTGAAAAGCACCGTCCCGTAAGCAATTTCTTCCTGTGGAAAAATCTCACTGGAACAAATGTTCCAGAGTCTGTATTTTGATTTAGATGTACGGGAAAAATGCTGGCTACAAAGCCCAGTACTTAAGGGCATCTAGAGGCAGGTCAAAGCTCAGAATAAATCAAGCTTTTATTACTAAAGCACAGAGTAAAAGAAACCTCAAGACTATTTCTTTAACATCTTTTATAATAACTAACGTTTAAAGTCAAATGATTGATCCCCCAACAAAGTACTCCCTGAAATCTCTGGTTGGGGGAATTATCATATAAAAATGGTGCTGTTAAACGCCAATTATTAGGTCTCTACTAGCCCTAAGGAAGGGCCATTTTATTTTATTTTTTAATATTTTTATTTATTTCTAGGAGAGAGAGAGAGACAGCGTGAGCAGGGGAGGGTCAGAGAGAGAGGGAGTCACAGACTTTGAAATAGGCTCCAGGCTCTGAGCTGGCAGTCAGCACAGAGCCCGATGCGGGGCTCGAACCCACGAACCGCGAGATCACGACCTAAGCGAAAGTCGGATGCTTAACCGACTACGCCACCCAGGTGCCCCAGGAAGGGTCATTTTAATGTCTCTGTTAAAGGTCCTGCCATACGACCAAGACAGATTTCAGGTGACTCAACAGCTAAATTGTCATAAACTCTACTCTCAACCTCCTGCATTCCTCATGCAATGGTCTCTTTATGAGAGCAATTTCTCCTATTTCATGTTCTCATTTTTCTCATTGTTTTTTAATTTAGAGGACTTTCTAGAATCCAGTTGATAGGAAGATTAACTCTGAAGAATTACTACCTGAAAATCTGGGAACCTCCTCATTAAAAGTAAACAGCTTTATATTCAAGGAATAGAAAACATTTTCTATAGAATTTGGCCAAGATGTCATACGAGTATCTCCATTAAAGCAGACTTCTCTGTTATTCTGCTTTTCAAGATCTATAGATATAATTCTAGCTGCAGGAGACCTCAAGGTAAGTGCTAACATTGATGACATTTTATAATACTCTTCAAGGCCCAGTATATAGGTATAATAATAAAATATACATACACCTTTCATATAAGAAATAAACTGTAAATCTGCTGAAGCTTAAGACTGTGATTAAAGTCTCAAGGTCCCTTCTAAATGTGATTTTAAGCTGATGATACAAGGAAACTCCATGTAATACAGACCCACAGGCTCTATAAACGTTGCACAAATAGGCAGGAACTATACACTGCATTTCAAATCCAGGTATATTTGGCTCTATAACCAATCAATTAGCCACAATTAAGTGGTCCTTCATTATTATTAAAAAGTTATCTTTAAGTAAGAAATCCTACATTTTCTTTGATTTAATGCAAATGTAAAAGAAATCCTCCGTAACTATTTTTACACTTCTCCTAACAAGCCTGGTGAAATTATTTTTACTCCTAGCAAGGCACCGGAGCTTTTTTGGATAGTTTCCCTTTTCTGAAAAGCCCTCCAAGGAAGGCGTGAGGCTTACACAGAAAATCCAGCACCTGCGGCACAACGTCACCCTGACTGGCTGTAAACTGGCTGTCAAACAGGGCGAGAGAGTCACGTGTTCCAAGGCAGGATGCGGAAAAGCCCAGAACACATAACAAACCCAGGCCTGCCTCATAAAGGAATCTCCTCGCACACCCAGAGCTCACTCATTGCACTAGAATAGTTTTACATCTGATTCCTTTCTTCATGTCTTCTTTCCCTAAAATGAATTAATCATTTTCTTTGTCTAGACAAGTCACAGAAAGTAAACTCTTAAATGTACACAGGTTTACGTGTATCTGTATGCGTGCATGTGTGTATCATTTCTTAAATAGCTGCTGTGTATCAGATTGATTATTTAAAAGGCATAAGCATCTAAAGACACACTTTGGCTCGGAGTCTGAGAGCAGGGCTGCTAGGAATTGCTAGCAGCAATTGGATGCCATCCAACGTGACCGTGGCCAGTGGATGACAGTATCTCAATGCGGCGGGCTTTCCCGCCACGGTCAGGAACAGGATTTGGCAAATTTTCTCATCAGGTATTTGTTCTCCCTCTGCTGCCTTTGGTTTGCCATTTCTGCGGGATGACTCTGAGGTGAGCACATGTACGCAGGCTTTTCTCTGGAGGATAAAGAGAAGCAGCTTTCCTGACAGGCCTGCCTTTTTTCAGAGCCAACTTTCAAATACCTGGTGATGTCTTCAGATAGCTGGGCAGGGTCTGGAGGGTAAAATTTCACATTAAATGAAAAGTGCCAAGCACCACCTGCGGAGAGGAGAGAAAAATTAGAATCGAACCAAGGAAAACCCTTTGTATTTCTTACGCTGATGGTTAGAACTGCCTCAACTCCAACCCAGGCAACATCTGCTCCCCAGCGGAAAACAGAAGGTCTCCGTCAAATGAAGTCCAGATAGGTGTGAAACTTCATCTAGGTTTTAAATCTTTTGCCCAAATCCTTTTTGGTGCTTCTAACTAGCTTGGAAATGGACTAGACTTCCTCCCTTTCTCAGGGACACAGGTGAGCCTTTGGAAGAGGACAAAACAGGAATGATGTGGACAATCCTCAATCAGAAAAGTCTGGAATTGGTTCCGAGTTCCATTGCTAGGACATTCTGGACAGCTCACATACCAACAGTGCGGACATAATCCCATTTCCTTTGTCCTTCCTGCTCAGTCACTGCAGGTCAAATCCCATTACAATACATGTCAAGGAACCATTCACAATATTTTTATTTTCATGGAAGGTTTATTGTAGTAAATATTTAAGGGAGCTGCTCTCTAGGCTTCTGAAAATTCTCTTCGTAGTTGGGGAAACATTTGGTTCAAGAGAGGCCTGAATGTATTAACTGTACTTTACGAAGTTGCACACCTCCTTATTAGCCCATGACTTGGGCTGATGCTCTTCACACCTTGCCTTTCATTATCCTAGGGCATTGACCTCTGGCCTCTCCAGTGAGGAAAAGAATCAACCAGGTGTCAGCTTACAGACACTTACTCTCTGTGCTGTCCATACTTCTGCTTGAAACATTAAGCGTTACTCAAGTCTCCATTTCATTCATACTGTCTCTAATTCTGTGTGGCTTATCATTATCAACAAGGAAAAACAGCCTTTTCTTTTTACATGTACTCTATCTGATCACTCCTTTAGCTCATACTCACTTCATTTTTCTCTTCTGGCCTTTTAAAGCAGGAACTTGTTAAAGTCTGGGTGTTCCCTCATCGGACATTTATTTGTTCCCTCCGTGCAGTAACCACAAAAGTGCCGCAGTGCAGACCTTGCCTGTGCTCTGAAAAATGCTACTGAAAAATCCCTCCCAGTCTCCCTGGCTTCTATGCTGGAAGTCTTTCCTCTACACCGCAAGCTGTAGCCACTTCCTTTTCACTGATTCTGTGATCTCAGAGTCCAGCCCTTATGTTTCAGATATTCCCTTAAGACGCCCAGACACCCCCTTCTCCCCATTAATTGACTTCCGGAAACTCCATTTTCTCCATGAGTCCTTTGCAAACATTCAGAAGAAAGAGGGAATATTTTAAGTACTAGCTGCTTTCCTTGGGCCACTCTCCTGCATAGGAGGCAAACACTTGGCTGCAGAGGATACCTATATTTCTATTACTAATGGCACAGGTACATTTACTCATTCTAGCAAATTCTTGAGACTACCATTCATATTCCACTTAAAATTCTACATGGCAGGATCACTACCTGAGTTGTCTTATAGAAAGGTGGCATAAGGCCAGGTATCACTGGCTGCTTAATATCACTTTTAAATCGCTCAGAAAATACTACTGAAACAGGACTATAAGAATTATAAGCTGTCTGTCAATCCAATATATTTCTAGTGATTATTTTTCCAAGTCCTTTTGTTATTTGAAAAATGGTCTGATCTGGTTTTACTTTCCTATTGATTCCTATTCATTTTCTGCTAAAATGGATCCCCTCACTGCTTGCCAATGGTGAGGTTCATAAACGAGAGCTGGCTTTCCCCCAAGCAAATGGAATGAAAACTAAAGGATTAAGTTATGAGAAATGGATTTATTGCTTTTTTATAATTTTTATCCATTTCAAAGTATGCCTTGAATGCAATGAATAGTTTAGCAATGTAATTAAACAATCTCCTAATAAATTCAAGATAAACATTAGGTTGGAAACTAAGACATAATAAAGGTATAAGAAAGATATTTCAATGCACAAAACCTCACAGCAGGAAAATAAATTTCAAACTATAGTTGGGCCTGTGGTACTTGCTAAAAATGCCAATTCCTAGGCTCCACCCAGAGATTTTTAGTCCAGAGATTTGGTATATGGGCCTAGAAACTTTGTGTGTGTGTGTGTGTGTGTGTGTGTGTATGTGTTTTAATGTTTAGTTGAGAGACAGAGAGAGTGAGAGCATGAGCAGGGGAGGGGGGGAGAGAGAGAGAATCCCAAGCAGACCCCACACTGTCAGCGCAGAACCTAACACTGGCTTAAACTCATGAAACAGTGAGATCATGACCTGAACTGAAATCAAGAGTCAGATGCTTAACCAACTGAGCCACCCAGGTATCCCAGAACTTGTGGTTTTAATAAATCTCCTTGTGGCTTCAATACAGGTGGACCATACGTTGAAGTAGGAAGTTTAAGGAAACTACAGTGTATACCCTAATCAAGAAAAAAAATCTAGTTAAATGAGGCATAAGTTTGAAATTAACGAGACAGATTACAGCTCCATATATATTCCCATAAAAAATCTTATAGAAACCAATCAACGGGGGAGCTATGATTATGTAATGAATGCGCTCGCAAGCCTGAATCTGCTCAGATGACAGCCCTGGTTAGAAACACGAAACCACGTGAATGTGTTAAAACGATATTCCTAAAATGTTGATGCAGAATTTCAAATCACAAATTTATGATAGAAAACTATGAAACTGAAGAGTTCATTCTTCTAGAAAATTCTAAGTTAGTATTGTATGGCTGCCTAATCTTAAAATTTCTAAGGATGCTGCATTCATAGCATAAAATTACTATAGGTTAATTACTACATACAGTATATAGATCATATACTGTATATCATGAAATGATTAGGTCATAAATATATTTACATCACAAAATACAGTATATTTAGAAATGTAAACATCTGGTCTGCATAAAAATGACTAGAATTACATTTTTTCATAAGAACAAACTCTTCAGTTTCAGGATTTTCTATTTCTCATCAATTTGTAACTTAAAATCTTAAGTAGCTTAAAATATCAGGTTGATTGCCATTCTCTGGAAGACCTAATTTTACAAATATACTGTGGGTCTACAGCATAAAAAGAATGGAAACATCCTTCAATCATTTATAACATATATAAATGTATATGTATTATAAAATACATATGTGTATGTATTTTAACTGAAGTACAGTTGACACTCAATGTTACATTCGTTTCAGATATACTACATGGTGCTTGGACAACACAACTCTAGACACTCTGCTGTGCTGTGCTCACAAATGCAGCTACCACTTGTTATCACACATCATTATTAAAACCCATTGACTATATTCCTTACATGGTGTCTTTCAACCTTGTGACTTATTCATTCCATACTTGGAAGCCTGTATCTCCCACTCCCCTTCACCCATTTTCACTCATGACCCACCCACCCTTCTCTCCTTTGGCCACCATCAGTTCTCTGTATTTGTAGATCTGTTTCTGCTTTGTTTGTTTGTTTTAATTTTTAGATTACACACAGAAGTGAAACCTTGTGATATTTATCTTTCTCTGTCTGACTTATTTCACTTAGCATAATGTACTCTAGGTCCATCCATGCTATTGCAAATGGCAAGATCTCATTCTTTTTTATGGCTGAGTAATATTTTATTATATATACACCACCTCTTCTTTATTCATTCATTAGTCCATGGACACTTGGGCTGCTTCCATACCTTGGCTATTATGAATAATTCTGCAATAAACATAGGGGTGCATATATCTTTTTAAATTAGTGTTTTGGTTTTCTTTGGCTATATGCCCTGAAGTAGAATTGCTGCATTATATGTTGGTTCTATTTTTAATTTTTTGAGGAACCTCCATATGGTTTTCCATGGCTGCACTGCTTTACATTCCCATCAACAGTGCACAAGAGTTCCTTTTCTCCAAATGGTCGCCAACAATTGTTGTTTCTTGTCTTTCTGATTATCCTTTCCTTAGTATAATTTTTTATTTTTGAGAGAGAGAGAGAGAGAGAGACACAGCACATACATATAAGCAGGGGAAAGGGGCAGAGAGAGAGAATCCTAAGCAGGCTCCATGCTCAGCACAGAGCCTGACGTAGCACTCGATCTCACAACCATAATATCATGAACAGAGCCCAACTCAGGAGTCAGATGCTCAACCAAATGAGCCACCCAGGCGCCACAGTAGTAGCCTTTCTGACAGGGGTAAGGGGATATTGCCTTGTGGTTTAAAAAAATTTTTTTTAAATATTTATTTTGGGAGAGAGGGAGAGACAGAGCATGAGCAGGGGAGGGGCAGAGAAAGAGGGGGACACAGAACACGAAGCAGGCTCCAGGCTCTGAGCTGTCAGCACAGAGGAGCCTGACAGAGGGTTCAAACTTACAAACCGTGAGATCATGACCTGAGCTGAAGTCAGTCGCGCAACCGACTGAGGCACCCAGGCGCCCTTCTCCTTGTGGTTTTGATCAATCTGCATTTCCCAGTTATTTATATTTTGGAAAATGAGATGATGGTATAATAATTCCATCAGATATGATAATAGTTCTTTGTGTTGACAGAATGTAAATGTTGTGGAAAGAGGGCATGTTGGTGCATGGGAAATAAGGATACAGAGAAATATACCAAATTCAATTTTTAAAAATTCCAATGTTCTTTGTTTCCTCCTTTATCTGCAGGATCATCACTTAGTTTTATGTTGCAGTCACAAGTATCACCTGAGCTGCATGATGAAAATCTTTAAATCTCGGTTCTGACTGTCCTCTTTTTTCTCTCAGAAAGAAAGGTACGAGACAGGATACATGGGAAGTTAAGGAAAAAGAAAAGAATTCCATTAGCAATAGATAAGAAAAATTGATGTTTATTCAGCTTTTCTTCTACCAGTATTGTGACTTATCCCTGAATATGTAATATATTTTCAAAGGGCTTTGAGATTATAAATTACCCAAGAAAGAACAGCATTTCATTAATTAGATGAAGAGAGAAGACTTTATGCACAACATGTTAGGATATATGTTCAACACATCTGCTTTTAGTAACTCCTTGAAAGAATTCCTGGGACATATTCATCATCTTACATTGTTTATTAGGGCTCAGAACAAAAAGACGGAGTGTTTTCACAACTGGAGCTGTCCCTGGTTTCAATCCTCGTTTCTTTTGTTTTTTTAAATTTAAGTTTATTTATTTATTTTGAGAAAGAAAGAGTGGGAGAGAGCAAGCAGTGAAGGGGCTTAGAGAGGGAGAGACAGAATCTGTGCTTTCAGTGCAGAGCCTGACGTGGGGCTCAAACTCACAAACTGTGAGATCATGACCTGAGTCAAGATCAAGAGTGGGACACTTAACTGAGCCACCCAGGAGCTCCAATCCAAATTTATTTGTACCAAACTTGATTGTCAAATTTCTTATTACTAAATATATCAAATTTCTCCTAAAAATATGAGAAATGTGTTTTAGTTATTATACATAAGCATTAGTCTAATCTCTAGAAGTATAGTGACTTTTTTTGAGGTATCTACTATTAAACCACTTCTATCTGTTCACTACTCATTACTTTTTATTAGAACCTGGTGTGTTCTGGGGCGCCTGGGTGGCTCAGTCAGTTGAGTGGCCGACTTTAGCTCAGGCCATGATCTCAGGGTTTGTGAGTTCAAGCCCCGTGTTGGGCTCTGTGCTGACAGCTCAAAGCCTGGAGCCTATTTCAGATTCTGTGTCTCCCTCTCTCTCTCTGCCCCTCCCTGCTCATGTTCTGTCTGTCTGTCTCTCTCTCTGAAAAATAAACAAACATTAAAAAAATAATAAATTGAAAAAAAGAACTTGGGGCGTTCTGATAGCTCAGCATATTCAAAGGCAATGGAAATACTTGCTCTCTTTTAATAGGAAATTGTTGAAAACTCCATGGCCATGATGTTCTTATTAACGAGCTGTCCTTAGATTTATTCTTCAACTAGAATTAGTTTGAAATAAATCTAAATTTTATTGACAAAAAATAAATTGCTTCAAAAAAGTATCTAGTTTTTTACAATTATAAAGATCACCAATATCTACGGTAAAAGCATGAGCTACAGAAGGAGGTTAAAAATTAAAAAAATTAAAAAAAAATTCAGGGCGCCTGGGTGGCTCAGTCGGTTGAGTGTCCAACTTCAGCTCAGGTCATGATCTCACAGTGCGTGAGTTTTGAGTCCCGTGTTGGACTCTGTGCTGACAGCTCAGATCCTGGAGCCTGCTTTGGATTCTGTGTCTCCCCCCCTCTCTCTCTCGGCCTCTCCAGTTCTTGCACTCTTTTTCTCTCTCTCAAAAATAAACAAACATTAAAAAACATTTAAAAAATGTTTTAAAAAATCTTCTTTCTCAACCCCTTATATTGAGGACTTCTGGAGGTATTTTCTATTTTTTTAAGTTTATTTATTTTGAGAGAGAGAGAGAGAGCACAGGCACGTGCACATGCGAGTGGTGGGGGGCAGAGAGAAAGGGAGAATCTCAAGCAGGCTCTGCGCCATCAGCTCAGAGTCCGAAGCACGGGTTGAACTTGTGAGATAATGACCTAAGCCAAAAATCAAGAGTCAGTTGCTCAAGCAACTGAGCCCCCCAGGCCCACCCGGAGGTACTTACTATTGACAGCTTTCGTGCTTTTCCAAATTTTATTCCATATATAAATTCTGGAAGAGCACAAAAGCTGCCAATATATAGGGAATCAATATATATTTCTCCATCTCTCTCTCTATATGCATATTTTTTACACGAATATGACTTGTCTCACTAATTAGACCTAAGACATGTTCTACCTCATCCTATTTAATAGTTGCCTACTACTGCAAGGTATGGTTATTCCGTGATTGATTTAATACGTTCTTTATAAATGGATAATTCGATGGCTTTTAGTTTTTGGTTATTGCAAATAACATAATAAACCTTCATATATGTAACACACACACATTTCTCTCTCTTATATGTAACCTGGGCAAATTTTTACAAGTAAAATTAGGGGTCAAAGAATAAGCACATTTTAAATTTTAATAAACACTGGCAGAGTACCCTCTTAAAGGGCTGTACCAGTTCACACTCTAACAGTTGTGCATACAGTTGCCAGGGCAATGCATTGGTAAACTTGGAAAACCTTGGTTAACCTGCAGAAGTGAAAAATGAGGTCTTGTTTTAATTTGCATTTAACTGCTAGTGAGATTTAGCAACTTGTCTCCTACTTACTAGCTACCTGTATTTCAGTTTTGTGGGTTGCTCGTGCAATTGTTGCGACTTTTAGGAAATATGCATTTCTTAACTTGCCTTTGGGGACCAAGAACAGAGGCTGCTGGGGTGCCTGGGTGGCTCAGTCGGTTAAACATCTGACTTCGGCTCAGGTCATGACCTCGGTCTGTGGGTCTGAGCTCGGAGCCTGTTTCCGATTCTGTGCCTTCCTCTCTCTCTCTCTCTGCCCTCCCTGACTCACACTCTGTCTCTCTCAAAAATAAACAAACATAAAAAGAACAGAGGTTGTTACCAGATAGTAAACTTCAGTCTGACTTGGGACTCTCTTCCTCAGATAGTCAATAACTACTACCTTTAGCTTGACTTTTATACTTTTGTGGCCGTTAGGCTTAATTTAACATTAATAATTAAGTTTGGAACTTTTAAATGGTTAATTGCCAACTGCAGCATCACCTGATTAAATATTTCACACTCTGTGCGCAAGCAGGGAAATAGGTCAAGTGTCATAGTCATTTTATTCTGGAGCTGTGATGATTAAAAATGGGTATTTAAGCCAGACCAACCTGTCAAAGAGAAAACTTGAGATCTTAATCTGTCTTTTTAAAAATCCGTATTCACACTAGCTATGTGGGTATGAGCCAGTGCTCACTGACAATCTCATTTCACATTCCCATGTAAAATAATCCAAAAGAACTTACTTCGAATCTGTTTTTTTATTTCCTTAGCAGGGTCCAGCCAATTCTGAAAAGGAAATGACAATTCAAATTTGAACCAGAGAATAAAAATAACTTTACGATGCTCAGGTAGAGACATGCACTAAGCACATCTAAAAGGGAACGGTTGCCAGCGGGCCCTCGGAGCTGCACCCTTCCCCCACATCTGGGGCCCCTTCCCCAGGCCCTGGGAGGGCCCAGGCACTAGTCAGAGGGGACAATGGGTGTGTGTATGCACAATTCATGCATGAAATCATTTTCTTTTACAACACTACCTTCAAAGATTCGAGCCAGTGCAGAAACAGAGCAGAAATATACTAGTGGATTCTACATTCAGAGAAGCTACTAGAATAAATTAGACACATGGAGGTTGACCTACTGATGCCTTCGCCATTCAGTCCCAGAGTGACTTCTGTGGTTGCAGATTCTTAGGCACTTTTCTAACAAATGAACACGTGCTTGAGATTTCTTATTTTCCTCATCAGAAAACTCAGATGTTGAATAACGAAGTTAGACATTGTTCAGTGACTTGGGTAGGTATTAAGTATGATTCAATGCACAACATCAAAACAAAGTAACCTCTATGAGCAAAATTTCTGTGACTTTGTTTCAAGCACAAATACAATGGAAACAATTTCTTCTTCTTTATTTTTCAAGTAGTTGTGGGAATCAGTGAGGCAAAGACCTGAATAGACTTTATTACTCAGGTGTAAGAGTCTATAGGAGTATTATGTTAAATACCTGCTGAATACATTAGACAAGGGTCTGGCCAGCAAACAACCCGTGTCACAGTCTGATTTTGTAAGACTATGAAAGCATACAGACATGAGTTAAATACAGGACAGCAGTGAGGGAATATGTTTCCTATGTTAGTATCAATATATTTGATTTTCATGGGCTCGAATCCACTGACAAACATCATCCAAGAAAAGAACCACATAAAATGCTTTCCTGGAACCATAAATAACTCACGTATGAAATACTGACTTTCTGTTCCCAAAATACTCAAGATTAAAGGAAGTTATCAATAATATCTTTCATAAAGAAATACAGTGATTAACAGCATTTTGGGACTCAAAGGCATAAAATGTGGGAGCATGAGGAAGATGGAGAAAATGATCTACCAATTCAATTTTGGTAGACCTTTCAGTCTTAAAGGCAGCAATACACAAGACATACGTTTTGTATTGCTTTTAATTACTCACCTTCTGGTTTTCAGCATCTCGATATGTAAGCCCAAAATAGTCCTTTTCTAGCAAGTTCAGATGTTCACACACTTTATCAAACAGCACTTGGCCTCTGGAGCGTTTCTATGGAAAACAAAATAAAAACAAATCAATAATACTAAGTTCTCTCAATTGCCATGGATAAGAATTGATAAAATTTGAAGTATCGCTTGCCCTAACTGTTCAGTATGGGACACTGAAGTGTGACCACTCCACCATCTCTTCTTTAACTAGTGAAAAGGTTCAATAAACCAGGTCCACTCCTACAAAAATCGGCCCTACAACCAACAAATAAAACCAAAACTCACTGGTACCACTGAGTAAGTTCAGGCAACCTGCTGAGGATTTCTAAACAGAAGTAGCTGGGGAAATGATGTGGGGCTTAGATGCCTCAAATATCTTGTGAAACACTTGTGAAAAGGTACAAAGGACCAAGAAAAGCCATGTTTCAGAATGCCCTAAAATCAGTCCCCACACGACCACATTCGGAGCCTGGGAAGAATTGAGCCCACTCCTTATCTTAGGCAGGTGTACCCTAAAGACTTCCTATTCCAACTCTTACTTAGAAGTTCTAGCTACTGATTGCTTTCTAAAGCCCATTAACTTCATTAGTTTATTTATATTGTGGTTATTTTTTTCTTTTTGGTAACAAATTTCAGTTTCATATTACAGTGTTCAATTTTCTCTTAATTTCTTTTTGAGAAATCCTTCCTATTTAACATAAAATGTTCATAAAGTTTAAAATTTTAGTTATCATTTATACATATAAAGATGTGTGTGTGTGTATATATATATATATATATATATATTTTTTTTTTTTTTTACCATAACACAGTCATTTGGGGAAAGGAAAAAGGTGATCGGTCATCTGAGGGGGAAAAAAATCTATCAGCTTAATTTACTGTGATACCCAGTATCATATTTTCATGGGTTCCTTCCAAGGTCTTTCATCTTGGCCTTGGAGATGGAGATGGATCTGGCAACAATTAAATTATGTTTTGTTTGTATAGTGCCAACATGTCACTCCTAATAATTAAGCACTTTTTGTCTTTAAAATTTAATATAACAATGAGAGATCTAAAAATGGATAAACACCGTGTATGCCAAAATAGTAAATATTCAGAAACCTGTAAGTGCTGTATATTAGTAACCAACCATAATTATATTGGAAGATAACTGCTCAGCCCCCTGGAGCAGGACTACTTAGGAAAAAAGATACATCTATGATACAAAACTAAAGCCTAAATTGTAGCTAGCTAAATAACCAATGATGTGTTTGAAAAAAGTTTAATAATGCATGAAAATAAATTACATCTTAGCAAAACGACATAATAACAATGTTCCATGGATATGAATAAATGGTATGACAAGGAAATGCTGTTCACTGGCTTAAATCTTTTATTTAATAAATAGCATATCATCTCTGAATGTTGAACAAATTATAAAGTTTTCATAAAAAAACCCTGTTTCTTCCGATGCCTCTACTGGTATTATGTTCAGTCTGCAGATAAGAATACAAGTTCAGAGAAGGCAGAGGAGAGAGGCCGTGTTGTGTAATGCCGGAGGGATGGCTTTAGCAGATCAACCTGGGTTTGACTCTTCATTATGCCCTTTGAAGCTATGTGAACTTCTTGTTTTTCCTTCTGTAAAATGTGTGACACCGCCCTCTTCTTTGGAATTTCGGTTGACATTGAAATAAAACAAAGAATTCAAACCTGGGCCAGCGATGGCACATTACCAATCATTCCATCAACATTGGCTCTTATAGCCCAAGCGACTGACGAGGGGCAGGAGACATAATGTAGAACTTACTATGTATGTATTTTTGCTGATGGAGCACATAGACAACTTCTTTTGGTGCCAAAAGGCAGTTCAGTATTAATGTGTCCTGCTCTTTCTTTAGATATTAATTACCTGCTTACTGCCCAGACCACAATATTTACACACACGCACCCCCCACCCCACCCCAATACACGAGTGTCTGGCCCAAGTATTTTCTCAGTAAGTAAAAGTAAAACAAAGCAAATACAAATAAATAAACTCTTCCCTACAGAGCCTCCTATGTTCTCTGACCCAGCAGCCCTTCAATGGTGGAATTATTTCTGAATACGTCACAAGCTGCCTTGGGCATTGTTTTAATTAGTGGTCTTCTGGTCGCTGTGTTCTTCCTTTTGGCTAACAGGTGGCATGGATTAGCTCAAGCACAGACCACTTGCTAACTAGATCTTACTTTTCTGGCTCCTCACAATTTGATTTCTATTAAATGATTGATAGCTCTCTCCTGAAAAGACCAGATTTTTTCCTACTAAATATTTTAAACATTACAGACAGTTCTTAAGACAATTGCATAGTGGTCCATTCTTCACAATGGAGTTTGTTTTTCTCCCCCCCCTAAGAAACAAGATCAGTGGGCTAGGCTCTACTAGGGATAGCTATCATAAACAATAAAACTCCCACCTGCTACGTATCACCACAGCCACCAGCTAGCTAGATGACAGCTAGCTCTTAAAGAAGAGCCTTTTAAGTTACTTGGGTCTTCATTTTCTCATCCTTGAGTGAGGATGCAAGAGTCTATGAAGTGAGGCTGTCATGGGCTAGAGGCTATGATTGGGTTCCCTGTGTCATGGCAAACATTACTAAGGATTACAAGGCTCCTTCCCATGGAGCCCAGAAGTAGTTTTGGCCCCTCCTGCATGTGTAAAGAGAGCCTGCCAGTGGACAGACTCCTGGACAGGATTACCCCCAACTCCAAAATTTTTGATTCTTCTAACTCAGGTTATTATTTTGTGCTCTATTCAGCTTTTCAAGGCAGTTATTTCTACTTAACAACATTTGTGTGTATCTTTAGGTAATAACACCTAAAATGCAACTAACGCTCAACTATCAGACTGAAACTTTTTAATAATTTACATTAAATATGTAGTTACTGAAGACATGATATTCATTAAGGGATCAAATCTAGGTACTCTGCTGTCATTGGATGTGTTTATATATAGCCAGAATGAGTCAAGAATTGAGTAGGTTAAATAAATGTTGACAGAGGTTTATCTAAATTAACGGATAATTTACCTAACCAGAGAAGATAATAGTTTTTAGTTTTGTTTGCTGTTTCCTGTGAGTTAAGTCATGTCTCTGACTCAAGGACATTCATAGCTCATACCATTCAGTATTGACCCCTGAACACCCAGAAAAGTCAATTTTTGCTTTTCCTAGAGTAACAAACCAATGGTGGACTGCCTTCTTTCCTCTTTTAACCACTACAAAATGAGGTTCCTGTTTCTGATAAAGTACAAGGGGATATTACAGCCCAACAAAGACTTTACATATTTAAAGAATGGTAAATCCCCAAGCAGTATGAACTTTCCTTCTGAACTATTTTAATTTAAAAAAATTTTTAATGTTTATTTATTTTTGATAAAAGAGTATGAGCAGGGGAGGAAGACACAAAATCGGAAGCAGGCTCCAGGCTCTGAGCTGTCAGGACAGAGCCTGACACGGGACTCAAAATCAGGAGCCGTGAGATCATGGCCTGAGCCAAAGTTGGACACTCAACCGACTGACCCACCCAGGTGCCCCTTAACTATTTTAAATTTTTTCTAAATTGACTCATGAAAGTGTTGAACATTGGGAGAAATATGTCAAAAGACAAAAACTTTAAGAGAATGAAGACAAGCCACAGACTGGGAGAACCTATTTACAAAGACATATCTGATAAAGGACAGGTATCCAAAAGACACAAAGAACTCATAAAGTCAACAATAAGAAGAAAACAACTAAATTAAAAGCTAGGCAAAAGATCTAAAATAGATACTTCACCAAAGGTATACCGATGTCAAAAAAAAAAAAAAAAAAAAGCATGTGAAGAGATGTTCATCATCCTATGCCATTAGAGAATTGCAGATCAAAACAAGATACCACTACGCCCCTATGAGAATGGCTAAAATCCAAAACACAAACAAGACTAAATGTTTTCAAGGATGTGGAGCAATAGGAATTCTTATTCCTTGCTGGTAGAAATGCAAAATGGCACATTTCTCTTCACTTAGGGAAGAGAGTCAAGCAGCTTCTACAAAACTAAACAAACTCTGAATATACGATCCAGCTATCCTACTCCTATATGTATATTTATGTATATACAGAAACCTGCACATAGATTCTTATAGCAGCTTTATTCCACACTGCCAAAATGTGGAAGCAACCCAGATGTCCTTGAGTAGGTGAATGGATAAATTGTGGTACAATCGAGACAATGGAATATTAGCACTACAAACAAATGAGCAGCAAGCCATGAAAAGAACAGAGGCACCACAAATGCCTAATCCTAAGTGAAAGAAACCAATTGGTTATATGTATAATTCTGGCTATATGACATTTTGGAAAACGCATAACTATGGAGACAATAAAAAGATCAGCAGTTGTCAGGGGTTAGGGAGGGAGAGAGGAGAGGGATGAACAGGTGGAACACAGGCAATTGTTCAGGGCAGTAAAACTACACTGATACTATAATGGTGGCTACATATCATTATACATTTGCCCAAACCCACAGACTGTACCACACAGAGTGAACCTTAATGTAAACTATGGTCTTTAGTTAATAATCGTGTATTAACACTGGTTCATCAATTATAACAAATGTCACACACTAATAGAAAATGTTAAAAAGAGGGAAAGAGGAGAGCAGGGAGAAGAGAGTTTGAGGGAGTTATGTGAAAAGTCTATGCACTTTCTGCTTAATTTTTCTGTAAACCTAAAACTGATCAAAAAAGGGCTATTCATTAAAAGAAGAGGAAGAGTGACAAAAATACTTAATGCCTTATTTTTAAATAATTCATTAAATGCCTAAAAAGGTTAATAAAGGTAAGCTCCAAATGATTTTACTTTTATGAGTAAATGAAAACTATATATATATATATATATATTTTAAATTTACACCCGAGTTAGTTAGCATATAGCGCAACAATGATTTCAGGAGTAGATTCCTTAAGCCCCTCACCCATTTAGCCCATCCCCCCGCAGAACTCCTCCAGCAACCCTCTGTTTGTTCTCTATATTTAAGTCTCTTGTGTTTTGCCCCCTCCCTGTTT